TCGATATCCTTTGATGGCCGTGAATGTCCTTTGAAGGCCTTTTAATGGCCCGTACTCCACCTGGTTGCTGAATGGAGACGCCAAGTAATCTTCAGGAATCCCACCACATAGCGCTCAACTCGGGAAAACGAAACCAAGATGTTGGACCTGGACGTGGCAGGCAGGCAGAAATCTACGCCAGTGGCCAAGCAGGCCTGGCTGAGCGTCCAGCTAGCAGCAGTGGCAGTCGCAACGGTGACGGCTTTGCCGGCGGCGAACAACTGCAGAGCTATCATACTCGCCACGCAGTGGCAAGAGGTCAGAGGGGTGTCTATTTTTGCTTTGGTAGTCAGGCCAGAGGCACAGGTTACAGAAGCTGTCGCTGCAAATGGCAGTACTGATGTCGTGTTTCTCAAAGAAAGAAGCAAGAGCGCACTCCGCCTATCAATCCACATCATCCATCCAACTCACACATCCCACTCGTCCACCACCAATCGAATCAAACTAGCCACCAATCTAGCTCCTTCATGCAGAACTGCGCTTGGTACTGTTGGCTTTCACGATTAAAATATGCGGTTGCCATCAAGCATGAGCGAGTCCTCCCAATGCTTGTGAAAATTTGGGTGAGCCCCCATGTCCTTCATTGACCAAAGCCTCCCGGATGTTTCAACCAAACCTATGTGCGAAACCGCATGCCTCAGGGCTCACCGACAACTCAAAGGAGAACTCCTGCGCCTCAGCGACCGAGGTGCTGGCGCGCCTTCTCTGACCGCGTTTTCCCTGAACCACGCTCCAGGGGTTAGAGTCATGAAACTTAGGGACATGCGAAGGACATGCTCCCTTGAACGTCAATGGTATCCGAGATCCCAGAGGTGTGCTCCGATGAGCTCAGCACCAGAATGAACTCGATGCCAGACTGAAACTCACGAGAACACTAGTCTTGGTGCTTCACGGACCTCAAAAAAAGCAGCGTGCCTAAACCTTAACAGCTGGACCAACAGCAGGCCCAATACAATTGCCACAGTCAGGATGATGCCCACCCAGCGTAGGTGCGAAATGGCCGCAACTTGCAACATAGTGCAACTCGGAATTGCCAGCTAACTGTGATGCCACATTTGTCAATGACAGGGTTGTATCTGGCTGATCCGGGCGTCAACCAGAGTAAACATACCGCTTGGTCAACCCTTCGTTCCAGCCTTCCTTGCGTCAACAAACTTTTCGGGTATGGCATGTTTGACCGTATGGCATGTTTGACCTGGGGATGCGCATAGTCATGCGGCCTTTAATCACATTGGCTATCTAAGCTTTCCGTGGGTTGGGGCACATGTACTTGCGATACTTCGCCCAAGTTTGGTCCCAGACCCTCCTTTTGCCTGAGAGCCCGTCAGCGGGCCGCGCAAAGAGCACGCCGCCACTCCACTCGGCATTCTGCAGCAGCGCCTCCAGCAGAGCCAAATGGCAAAAGCGCCAACCCTGGCTGTCGGTCAGCCACTGTTCGGTGTCAGGTACCAAAAATCCTTCTAATTCGATCCACTGCCAGCGGTCGCAGTAATAATCTCACTACAAATTGACATTGATACAGGCACATGACGGCGCCCTGGTGCCATCACTCAACCCCCAAACAACCCCCCCCCCCTCCGGTGCCCCTGTGAGCGTGGTATTCTCCGTCCGGGCTAAAATCTCCACACTGGGCCTCAGTCGAGTCCACGAGCGAAACAGCTACCCTGAACCCAAACCAAATCAACATGTCCACCAGTTGCACGCAGTCCAGAAGTGTCAAGTTGTATCAAAAAGACTCCCAAGATTGGCACCATGGAACTGTCTCAACGCAGTTGCAGATCTTAAAGCTCGGATGCGCACCCTACCACCACAATGGCACCCCGGGGAAGCCCCACCCCTCAAAACTCCGGGTGATGCCAAGTACAAATGAACCAAAAGATCGCAGGGGACTCAGTGCTTCTTCAAGCAAGGGGTACATGTCCAGCCAAGGGGTCAGAAGGGGGGGCTGAACCCTACCACCCTTCAGCCGAGCCCGCCCAGTCAGCTGGTGGCTTGCAACCCCAAGGCACCAAAGGTCTCCCAAAACGCCAAAACGCCGCAATCCGCGCGTCGGGAAGATTCGAAAAGCTGCAAGGCTCCCCATGAGCCCAGCTCCCCAAGCCGCCGGCTCCGGCACCGGCTCCACCTCCCGGACCTTCCGGAGACGTATTCGACACGAAGTGGACACCAGGCGGACATCACAACTGGGGCAACGAAGAAACGGCGATGAAAACGGATGTCACGCTGGTCATGCAGGCTCGTTTGCCCGAGCTTGAGGCTGAGTTGAATTACGACTGGAGGTGCCCTGACACAACAGCACATCCATGTCATCTAGCAATCTAGATCATGCCCCTGTGAAAACAAGCAGAGTTCAGGATTGAACCACATCTGCCATCTACAGAGGCATGGTCATGATCCAAGGGCGGATAACCATACCTGCAAACCCCAAATACTCGGGTTTTCGACAATGGCACAACTTGAACCCTCAAAGAGCCAAACCACCAAACATCCGGCAGCCTGACAGTCACCCTGACAGTTCCCACACTCGAACCTTGTACCTGTCCATATATGTGTACTCCAATTGAAAGCAAACAAGAAGCCCCTCCCCCCCCAAAAAAAAAGAGAAAACAACAAAAAGAGAAAACAAGAGCACGGATGTCTGTTTCGAAAGCTTGCTGTCAGCCTCCCGGCCTCCACCTGCGGTGCCAGCTCGACCGCCGCTTTGGGCGCCCGCGCTTCAGGCGCCGGCCTCGCACGTGGGCTCACGCCAAAGGGGCCATGTGCGCGCAGCTTCCCCCACGGCAAGGAGTGGTAAGGGGTCGATATGTCCCCTTAAACATCAGCCCACGCGTTTTAATCGGCCCAAAAGGTGATGAAGTTGAACCAACCAAAAGGAACAAAAAGGGAACCCTGAATCATCCAAGCAATTTAGGCCAAAATTTAGGCATGTCTTCAAACTTTGCAAAAGGCTGAAAAAGGTCAGCGATGATGCCAAAAGGCAGGCCACCAGCAGATCAAAGCCACCCTTCTGCCATCGGAACCACAGCCCGCCTGGCGCCCTTGTCAGGAAAGAGCCGCCTCAACCGCCCCGCCAAATAGTTGGGGCAAACAAGCAGGTCCACAGCAAGCTCGTTTCACAAGTCGGCAGGTGAGGGCTGAAGCCATCCTCGTTCTCGCATCCGCTTTCATAACTTTGGGGAAATGAATCTACCAACAATTACAAAGTCAAGGCCCGTAAATAGTAATCAAACAAAATGTGTTTCGCTTGGCTCCTCAAGTGGGCAAAATGCAGCTCTTGGTGACCAAGCAAGGCCTGGGAAAAAAAAGAAAAGGCTGAGGGCACGGCCCTTGCTGCTTGTGCAGGAGGTGCTCAATCTTTGCCTGGATGCCAGGCTAGAGAACTCATGTCTGGTGTTGTGTCCAGATGGATGCGAGAGTCAATTCGATGCATTGACTCGTGGCCCGACCCTGGAGCTAGGATCATAAGGGTGGCTTGAGGGTCTTATCCGGGTGCAGGTTTGTATCCATGCAACAATCTCGGGTCCAAAAAGCGCGTGGACGTAGGATGAATTTGCAGGATCCTTTGCATCATCCTCCTCCTCCTCATCCTCCTCCTCCTCCTCCTCCTCCCCTCCTCCTCCTCATCATCATCATCTGATTAATACAATCTCTGTGCAGAAGAAATCTTGATGAGAATATTTATGAGACCATCTTCAAGAGTGTGCAGATGCGACAGCCCAGTGATTGAGACTGCGGGTCCTTAGCAATCAAAACTGCCTTCGGAGTCTGCCGGAATGTTTGTCCCGGGAGCTCACCTTTCTTTGATAAGCCGGCTTCAATGGAACCTCTAAAGGGCCATAAATGTTGCGACTTTCTATCCAAAGACTTCTTGGCGCCTCAACAAAAAACTGCAGAGCTCATGGGCAAGGTCATCGCTATACTCCCGTATGAGGGTATGCTTGGAAGCCCAAAAGGGTGCAAAGAAATTGGTTGCCCTTGGCCCTGGCGCAAGCCATCGGAACCTGTTTATTGGAACCCGTCCAATGTGCCCTTGTCCCACTCCATGGCCTGATTCTCCAGGTACTTCAACATGAAGTCATCCACTGGCTTGCTGCCTGTTGCAAGTGGGGTTTTCAGGCAACCTTCGGCACACGAGAAGGGCTCGAGGTTGCCAAAAGAAACATGCCGATCAAGGATGCAAAGCAATAGCTATCCGAAAACCAACCAACCTGAACAGGGGACACCTCGTGCACAAGACTGCAACCGGCACACCCAAATGCTGGCTGACTCACATGCCACAGTCTCTCGAAGCTAGACAAGGGTTCTTGATTCACAGCACCTGCCAAGTGCCCGCGCAAGAATGCCCGTCTTAGCTCCACGGGGGTGGTAAGCAACTGAAGGCATATGACGCGCTGGATGCAAGTCATGTGCCATGCCATTCAGCCCTACATGAGCCCAAGCACGAGGCCCGCACGTGCCAAACACATCTCGCCACTTTCTGATCTGGAGTGAGACGCTATGCGGGGCACAAATCGCCATCCAGGGTCCAAGGCCAAAATGGAAGAGCTGATGCAGAGCTGACGCGCTCGTTTCCCAGCCCCCAGTTAGACAAGGTTGCACCTGGACGGCTGAGCTGCTGCTTTCAACAGCGCGTTGCGAAACCTGGCTGCTGCGTTGGCAGCAGTGGACTGCAAATGGTGAGACATGCCTTCTCAAAGGGCTACGTGGCTACGCATCCAAAGTCTGCATCTCATGGGCGACCAAGATGGTTGTTGAAGCTCCATGCCGCCCCTGAAACCAGAACAAGCCCATGAGTCTTACAGTAGCAGCCCTTCGAACCAGAGTCGGGCAAATCGTGCCACGCGGCGACACTGAATCATCTTTAAGGGCAACACAAATAGCTAAGTCTTCAGTCTTCAGGTCGAAACCAAACCTCAAGTCGCCACCTCACGGCCGCCGCGGTTCGCGGTGTGTCGCGGACCTCAGCGCCTCACGATTCCAGCACCTGGCGATGGGGGCAACAACCCCAGGCGCCGGTCCCAATCCTTTCCAAGTTTTCATCCGGGTCGCCATGACCTTGTGGGAAATCAAACGGGCATCGTCTTTCATGACCCAATGACCAAAATCACCTGCAAGGTCCTAACTCCAAAAGCCAAACTCACCAAAACCCCAAACTCCCAGAGTCCAGCCGCCTACAAACTCACCAAGACCACACCACAGCTCTCACCACCTCATATGTTCCCCCCCATTTTGGACCCGTTTTTTCGGCGCGCCCCTCCCCCCCCCAAAAAAAAAAAAAAAGAAACGCGCAAGGCGCGCTGGTGCAGATCATGGGCGACGTCCTGGCCACCTCCCCGGTGTAGCGCGGCAGATCCTCCCGGCCCCAGATGCGCTGGAAGGTGGTGTCCTGAACGGACGTGGGAACCAAAAGCCCCTCGAGGAACCTGGTCCTTTGAGGAGCCCCCAGTTAGGCGGTTCCACATTTGCGGGGAGAGTAAACATGGATGGCTTTGGGCTGCAAAGCCACGATGGTAGCAAAGCCAAGCCAAGCTTGTAGGTACGAGGGGGGGATCGTTGGCATGCAGGGGCCCATATGACTCATGGGTTCTTTTGATTGCATACGTCAAGGTGAACCCAACGTGGCCCCAGAGAATCAGCTTGCTGCTAATTGTCAGCTTCCAGCAAGTCACTTACAGATGCTCTCCGTGTGTTCATTTGCTTGTTCAATGAAATAAAGCCAAGTGAGCATTTGCATGGCTTTGATAGAACCTGGTACACACTTCAGCACGAGGGAATGGAAAACAACAATGGGCCAGCAAATCCTAGTGTCTGCATGATGTCAAATTTACTTGTCTGCAAGCATCTTTGCAATCTATGAGCCCACATCAGGGCAACATGCTACTGAGCGAGCTCCTCTCACATGTATACATATCTGGCGCCTGCATCTCTGTCTTTTGCATCATTTTGGTACTGTCATCAATACATGAGATTTGTCAGAAACAAACCAATTCCCCTTCTTGCATCAAAGTCAAAAGGAAGCCAACAGGAGCCCAACCATCTGAACCCCCGCGTTCCCCAGATGAGTGCTTTAAAAACCACGACTCACGGTTTTCCCCTTCGGTTTCCGCAAACAACCCAAACAATGGGCATCCTCAAAAAAGGAAGAACAGCTTGTCCGCGCGGCAAAGGATCCCATCCCCCCGTCGGTCAGGGCCCCGGCACGGGGCCGACTGCCGGGCAGGAACTTCTCCAAGCTGCTGCGGTTCATCGACGCGAGCTCCTGACTTTTTTCTCGGAGCTGATGGGCGTGTTACCTGGGTGTGGCTCAAAAATCGGTACCCCACATGGCAGCCCGATAAATGGAAGCATACAACCTGCGCTATCCGGGTGGTTTAACTGACCCATAGCCACTTGGGTCGGAGGGAAACAGGTTGGCAACGAACTCATCTCAAGGACACGAGACCCATATAGGCGTGTGTCAATACTCGGGTTTGTGTCGAAATGGGGGGACCCCAAAAATCGCGGCGGCTTTCCTTTGGCTTCCCTTATACAACCACTCCAAAAAGGGACCTGCACTCATATGGGTCCTGGACAAACTCACGGACTTCCAAGAATAGCAGTTTCTCACACCCGAAACGGTTTTGGGCGCTGCCCAATTGTAAGATATCACCTCACCTTCCTATAGACGTCTCCTCCGAAGGACAGCTCTAAAGTAGGTGTCCAATTGAACAGAGGGTACAGGTTCAAAGAAGCTTCCCCCACTTCAGAGAACCGCCATATAGCTCTTGGATGCCCTTTGAAAGCCAGCTAACTAAAAGTGAGGAATCCTTCCATGCTGAATGGGATACCTTTCGCAGGCCGACCGAGGTCCCATTCAGGGAACCTTAATATGCACCAACCCTCCAAGTATCTGTTGTCTTTGGAGTCTCCGAGGTTGGCTTTTGCAAAAGCCTCGGTCGGTCCTAAGCCTCCACATATCCCTGCTGAAGATGTGACCCCGACATGCCTGCGACACCCCTCAAGAAAATCTAAGACAGGTCAAGGTAGTGAATGCAAGTGCCGCTGGCATCCCCTGACCCTGCATCGCCATCCCTCCCGGCCTCATGTGCTCCAGAGGAGGGCGGTCGGCTGCTGCGAGGGGTGCCTCGATCCTGAGCGATCGGAATCATGTCCAGCCCTCAACAAGAGGAACCGAAGTTGGCTAGAGGTTTCGCCGCACCGCGCCGGTGAGAAAAAGAACCGAGTGACTCTATTCCAGACTTTTTATCAACATGGCTATACCCCTCTACAGTGAGAAGCTGAGCGCGCGGCCCAATAGCTCAGCTTGGATCCATGGCCAATCGCCCAGTTGCCATAGCGGCCACTATCCACCACCTGCCGGGAAGAAAACGTTCTGTGGCAAGCGAATGTAGGTCTGCGAGGCAGCGATATGTGTCTTTCCCCTAGAGGCTGACGGGGAGAAATCGTCTCTTTCTGTCGAGTGGAAGGGGGCTCCTGGGGGCTGCGGCTTGCAGTGAAGAAGAAGAAGAATAAGACGAAGAAGAAGGCAAACAGTTTTAAACAACACAAAAGCAAACTAAAGACTGCAGAGGAGGGTGGAGTCTGCAATCTTGCTTGTTTTTTTTGGGGGGGTAGATTGCAGATTGCAGAGAGACAGCCAGAAACACCAAAAAGACAAACAAAAGAGTACAGACCCCAAGGGATCAGGCCGAGGGGGGGCATTATGCCTGAAATATGATCTAATCCAGGTGGTGATAATAGAACCAGACGAGATGAGGAAGATAGCACGGACAGGATTGGATGTGGATAACACACGACATATCTTCCTGACTCATGTTCATACCACACCTCTTTGAGAATAAAAGCTAAAATCCGGGGACTCTCCTCTCAATCTTTTCGATATTTGCAGGTCATCGGCTGTCAGCATTGTTTAATTCCTATCTTAACAATTTAACTGCTGATGTTGAAAGACAAGATACTAAAAGCCTTCTCACGTGACATATCAAGCAGCAGTTAAAATGGGAATGTGTTTGCATACTATGTTCCTTGCTATCTGTAACATCTGACAAAATAAACTTCAGTACACAAAACCACATGCAAGGCATTTCACCTGCCAAAACACAGCCCCATGGTGTTCCGCACTCAAATCATGGTGTCTTCCGACGTCTGTCTGCACTTCTTGAAGCTACACATCTAGAGCAATTGTTCCTTAAGGAACCGAATTCCCTGTCGGATTTCATGTATGCAGTCAGATGTTGTGAGTGCCAGGAGCAATCTAGGGTTGTTTCATTAGGGACTGGCCTTGAATGGGTACACTTTCATGAGCTTGCCTTGTGATAAAAAGCTTGCTGTTCCGGCTAGCTGATGTTTTTGGAGAGGAAACCATTGAGTCTGAAAGGAATCAACAGCTTTTGCAGTATTGTTGGTTCATGTTGTAGATTTTGGGGGGGCGAGGCACGCAAACAAATGTCTGTAGTCGGGGGAATTAGAGAGTGCCAACAACGGATTAGGGGTGGCATTTTGCCAAACCTTGTGGGTGCCTTAAAGTAGTACTCGCAGGCAGTCGGCTCGATAATGGAGTCTCTTGAATCACAGGGGTGTGCTCATCCAGTTCAGACATGCCCGCCATGACTTCCAATCCCCACAGAATCTTTGCGTATTTGTCTAGAACTGCCGAGGTTGATGGACCATACCTCACGCCAAAAGTGGGCGCTTTTGACCCGGCTAGTGGGGAAACCCCGGCGATGCCTTGCCGCTGTCCACCAGCAGCCTGGAGAAGGGCGGCCTGGGACGGGGCGTGCTTTTGGTGTTTGGGGCCGACCACTTGAAAAGAAAGCTCTCGTTTCATTGGGCCACAAAAGGAGAGAGGAAAAGTAAAGGTCAAAAGGCACGCCCACATGTGTTTTTCCACACAAAGCCATGCTCCAAGAAGACTATGAAGTGAGGACAGGCAAAGTGAAGCCAAACAGCATTCCAGGCGAATTTGAATAGGCTCTGCGGAGGTTGGACCAAACCCAAGTCGCTCGGCCGCCTCATGTGGGGGCTCAAAGGGGGATGCTCGATTGCTTCTCCTTTCAATTAAATAACAACAGACTGTGCCACAGCACCAAAGAGCCTCCTCAAGATTGTCAATATGGAAAACAGGCAAGCATCATGTAAGCATTGAACGGGGCAAAAACATAAGCAGCCAGTTGAGCTTACAGCACTAACTGTGCTGTGGCGTCAATATTGAAAGGTGACATCTAGACTTGCTCTGCACGAAAACTTGCAGAGTTCAACATCGAGATGGAAGCCGATGGAAGTGAAGAGCGTGGATTAGTGCCTTGGCCATGACGTGCATTTGCATGGGAGATATGTTGTCTACTCTGGCGATAGAGTTTGGGGTCCCTGGCTTTGAGACACCTCCGTTTGGGTCCCTCCACGAGCGGCTTTCCTCTGAGTGGCTTTGAAAGAAAACGACATGGGGCCTGGCAGGTCGTATAGCAATGTGCACACAAACAAGTATTGATCCATATCAGGACGTGTGTTTGATTTTTAGGGACTCCACCAGCTCCACCCTCCGCAAATCCACCGTCAGAAGCAGTGCCAAGTAGCTCCAGCTGCCCTCGCGGCCCCACGATCAGTTGACCAGCCTCAGGGAAAAATACACGCGCGGTGCCCTCAACCACTGCTTTGTTCCATGGAGGCGTCAAATTCGACTCCTTCGCCGGCTCCTAACCACCCCAAGGGGAGCCAGTTGACACGAAGGACCCGATCGCAGTTCGCAGACCTCTTGCCGCTGCGGCGGAGAAATTGTGTATAATCCCCTGTCGAATGCAACTGGGGCAGCAGGCTGCGGATGGCGAAAAGGAGGTGCTGTGCAAGCGCTCCATGAGCACATCGCAGCCTGTGCGTGGGCTGCTCAAACGAAGAAACGCCTGAGAAAGCGCATCCAGAAACATGAGTCAGCCATTTGTGAGGATTCAGTTCTGTTTCTTGGCAGTTTACCAAAGTGGCACCATGCTCTTCACCTGCTTGCCTCCAAGGTGGCTGAGCAAACATTCCACAAACTCAACTGTCACAACTCGTCCAGTGACGAATTTAAAACCCCGACTTCTGACTTGAACAACTGGTGTCGGGGTACTTTCGTGCCTTGCTGAACACTTGTCGCTTTTCGGGGCCAGCAGAAAATGCTGAAGATTGCAACCCGCGGCAAGCAGCTACAAGCCGCCCTCGGGCCTGACTTGGACGCGCTCATTCGCGCCCATGCGTCTGACTGATTCATCGCACCTGACAGGCAGCAAGCAATGTTGCGTAAGGCACTGCAACTCACAGCAAGAAACTAAGTCGCTTCTAGTCGCCCTGAAGCAGAATACTCTCGACAGCAGCTTTGAAACAGCCAACAGTGTGGATGGCGAAACGCGGCAACCCCCCCTGTTGACCCAACATGTTGCTTGAGAGGCGAGTGAACGAAAGCTAGCCAGCCAAGCAAAATCCGGTGGCTAAGAGGTTGAGAATGGCGACCTTTCATGAAAACCACTCAACATGTCGTGGAAAGTCCACACCCAACTTGGACCAGGTCCTGACTGATTGAAGGTCAACAAGGCAAAGAGGGTAGATTCAGGAAGTTTGGACTTTTTGGGCTAGTTAAGAACTGGTTGAGGAGTGCTTTCGGGCTGACTTTACAGTTGATCTTGGCCGAGTTTCGGGTGGGGCTCGGATGCCCGGCGGGTGTGGAGTCAAGTCCGTTTGTCAGGCGGCAAACCTGATACGTGAACACAAGTTACAGGCATGTACCATCAATTAAGTCACTTCATTCCAACTGCCTGCCATTGCGAATGAGAATCCACGTATGTCCACAAGCTCCCCTCCCGGCCTTGGGAGTGCACCGGAGCCCGAACGTGTTTCCGTCGGAAAGGTGTCGATGAGTCTTGGCTCTAAGGTCTGAATGAAGGTCCAAGGGAACGGGCAAACATTGAGATGGTAGCTCGCGTGTCTGTGAACTCCCGAAAGGAGGCTCAGAGCCGAAATGGACATGCGAGCAGGCGTCGCTACGGAAAGCTGGAGCCACTGTTCGCTCTCCCAGAGGTTTGCTTCCAATGTTCCAAGATGGCTGAGATGCACTTGGCTCGACAATGGGCAGTGTTCAACAAATTGGAATCTTTCGACGACCAGAGAGTATTGACAAATGCACACGTGTTTGGTAGACCACAATCATCACCCCTTCTCAAAAACGTCAATTCGATGCGCCCTCGTACCTGAGTCTGGTCATTGCTCCAAAGGCAGACTGTCAGGACTGTAGACCCGCAGACCCGCACACACACACACACACACACGAGAAGGCTCTCTTAACACAAGAGACTGTCCGACTGCCAGCTGCTTGTAAAGTGAGGCTAGACTACTTCCCTGTGTTGTCCCTTAAAGGCATCCCTTGGCTGAACTACACGGCCGTCAAAACCGGCTTCATCTCAGCTGCAACAGCTCATCTGTGAGCCCCTTTTCTAAAAGGCCATGCAAGGATTCCAGGAGGAGTTTGTGGTGAGGCTACCCTTTTCAGGTTTGGCGGAAAGGGAGACCAAAAGGCAAAACCCGCTTTGCCCTGTTGACACAAACCCAACACCTCGGAGCCGCGCAAGCCTGGCTCTGGTCCGCGCTTCGGCTCGGCCAGCGGATCAGCTGCGTAGCCTGGGGAGACAGGGGGAGATGGGGGGGAGGTCCTTACCCTCGCGCCAAGAGGGGGCCCTGTCCTTTTCTGGCCTTTCTTGGCTTTTGGCAAACTGGGCCCAAAGGACAGGTGGGATGAACAAGCTGGTCTTGCAACCCGGAACCTCACTGGAAGGTGGTTCTATGCCTTCCAGGCGGGGCGCCCTGGGGGGCCACGTCCAACCCGATCACGGCTTGAGGAACCAAGCAGGCCAAGCCCCGTTGCATACAACAAAAACATGTTTAGGAGGAGGAAAAAAAGGGAGCGCCTTTGTGGGTTCCGTGTTGACTTGCGGGTAGTAAGGACAGGGACACTGAAGACTCGAAGGCTTTTTTTGTGGAAAGACACGGGGAAGCTGGCTTCGACAGTCTCACTCTCCTTGTCACACAACCTGTCTGCAACAAACGAAGGATGAGGAAAGCCACTCGCAGACACATCATGGGGGCTGTACCAAGTGACAGTCGCTTCTGCCACGAGATCTCCTAAAGCCCTCCCCAAGCCAAAAGGAGGCTAACCGGCTGAGCCCTAGCGGTTGGACTATGGTCCTGGCCGTCGTAGAGGTCCCTCACCACTCTCAGGGAGGAGAGGTTCTGGCAAAGGCAACCGAGAAAACGCGGAGCCCAAAGGCCGCAAAATGCGCAATCTCGCTCCATTCAAAAGACGTGTGACTTTCTCTGTCCTTTCCCTTTTCTTTACCCTTCTCTTTCTCACTAAATATATCCTCATTATCGTTCTCTTTCTGTTTCTCGTGTTGTGTCTCTTGTTCTTTCTCCTTCTGATTGTCTTTCTCATGCTCGTTCTCTTTCGGTTTCTTTCTTTCTCTTCTTCTCTTTCTCTTTCTGATTCTCTTTCTGTCTCTGTCTCTCCCTCCCTCCATCCCTCTCTCTCTCTGTCTGGGCATGCCGTAGCCGATTGACAGGCCGATTGACAGGCCGATTGACAGGTGTCTGGATGTCAGCTTTTGGTGGGGGCACAGGCACACACAGACACAGACACAGACACAGACAGAGACAAAGACAGACACACACGGCCATACACACAGTCGCACACATACACATACACATACACATACACATACACATACACACACACACACACACACACACACACAGAGAGAGAGAGAGAGACAGCCAACCAAAGAGCTACCCAACCAAGCCGCCGCATTCAGCACAATTCCGTGCTTGGTTCGTTCTGAGGACAGCTGATATAGAGTGAGCTCTTCTTGCACTAATTACGCCTTTTAGATGACCTGCCATGGGCAGGCAAGCAAACAAACCATTTAGCTAACAACCAAGCTCGAGAAAAACAACAACAAAAAACACACACACAGCCACACGGCCTCCTCTCCCGAACTCGCACAAAACGCCTGCCAGAACTCGCCCCGCGCGGGCGGCAGCCGTGGTAGTGACCTGGCAAGTAGGAAATGCCAGGCGGCTGCGGGCACTTGGCAATGGCCCTCACAGGCGAAAGATGTCTAAGTCAATTCCTCCGTTTTGGTTGAGTGATCCTCTTTACTTGCCCACAAAAGGAACCCTGCTTTGGATGCATATCACGAAGACTTCATTCCAGACCTCTGATAATGCCTCAGGCTCTTGTTTGGAGGCAGGGGGGTGGACTCCTATGAACGCAAGCAAAAGGAAATTGGGGGAAGACCAAGCCAGGCACCCAGGAGCACCTCTACCCACGTCAACCAGCTCGCGCGCCGAGCAGCTTTCCGGCCTTCCTGAAAACCGGCCCTTGTCGAGGCCAGCCTGCAACCTTGAGACACCAAATGCGCTGAAGGGAGAAGCCGCCATGGTGTCCCAAAACTCGCACCGATGCAGATTAATTGGTTGGCACCCTACCTATGGGTCAAAGAGAGCATTGGTCCTCACATGATGCACGTCAGGACCTTGGCAAAACCAGTCAAGATGCCAGTTGCATACACATCTTTGCCGGCGGTTGTGGAAGGCTCATCCGTACTCAGGACGTGTGGAACGAACTCTGTAATTGGAATCAAGGCTCCAAGATGCGGGCTAGAATGGCCGCGAGAAGGTTTCGGGGCCCTTGGCTTCTTTCATGGGGCAAGCCCAAGTGTTCACCTGTGAGGAAAGGGACATCTGTTTCGGCAAATCAAAAACAACATGTGCAGATTGGACGGGTCAAGAACAATCCAATCTCTGAACGGTGGCAAGAATCTGTTGAGCATCACCAGCCTGGCAGATGTGGCTTCTGCATTTGTAGCTGGGAGCAACATTGGTTGGACGTCATAATTGTCTCGTGTTTCAGCGTTCCTCCTCGTGCCTATAGATCAGTACTGAGTCCCCCTAACCCGTTTCGGTAGGTCACCAAAGGTTGAATCCTGGCACAAAAAAAATCACAAACATGAAATGCCCATGAACGCATTGGTATAGATATAACATACACTGACATATACTAAAATACACACACACACACACACACACACACACACACACACACACACACACACACACACACACACGCGTGGCATTTAGGTGATACATTTGTTTGCCTTGAAGCAAGAAACGAGGCTCGCCCCATGTTGAGCTTCTGGCGCTCCCAGCTGCACGAAGCGTCGCTTCGGCTCCGCCTCGGAGCCGCGCGATGGTGGGGTCTCCAATAGGAATGGCGGTGGGATCTCTTTGTTGAGGCCATATTTTGTTTTGTGTATTTCTTAACGGAAAAAGAGCCCATGCAAACTTCCAGTCTGTCGTTCTTGCCAACTGTAGCAAAGTAGTCTCCCTCCAATACTGAGCCCAAACGTCACCGGCCCCATGCAGCGAGTCAGGCCCAAAGTTATCTAAAGGCCATCCGAAACACATGGTGCCGAGTTCAAAGTTTCGTGTTGCTCCAATTCAGAGTGCCCAGCTGGCCCGGTTTCCGCTTGCTAGTTACCCTCAGCAGGACACAAATGCTTCCTCCACCTGAAGAGATTCCACGAGATTCGCCGTCCAAATTCCTGCCCTGGCGCTGCAAACATGCAAAGCCCTGTCCCCACCCCCGGGCATTTTGCCGCGAACAAATCACCGCGGCAGCGCTGGATACAGCCTCGGAGAACAGCTGGGCTCTCGGCTGTCACCCAGTTGAGCAGCGACCAAACAAAACCCATTGACTTGTTGGTTCTACAAAGGTGGTTCTAAAGGTTAATTGGCCTCTGTAACCCCATGAAATCAGGTCACAGCCCCGCGCCTTCTTCTTTGGTCTCTTTTCCCGAAACACAACTAACAAAAAAGAAGGATTAGAGCCATTGGGCGTCTAGCATGGGAAAGAGCCATCTTGATCAGCATCTTCTGCGCTACCATGTCAGTTGTGCTGATTATTATGTGCTGCCGGTGTGCGTTACCACGTGCTTATCCGACGTGGCTGCACGAAGAGCACCAGAACACACGGCCCAAGTCCGCTGGGCAAGCACGTGGCCCGCAAGCTGAAACCAGGTCCGGTAGTAGAACCACCTAGTAATATGGCCAAAAAGGGGTTTGGGCCGCTCATTTACTTTGATGTTCGTGCGTCCCATCCTTCACGTAGCAAATGATTGACGCCCTCTTTCCATTGCGGCCATACCAATCATAGCGTTCAATAGCGATGTGGCTCTCGCCGTGATCTGTCACATGTCTCCTGCTTCCGAAACTTCTTGAAGGTCGAATTTTGATGTGGCACTACATGCCCTGGAATTCGGATCCTGCGCCCTCGCTCGCGCTGAGCGGTCGGCAAGATGTTGGCCAGATTCCCGACGCAGTGGAAGCCCACGTGCCATCTGGTGCCAGCATCGAACTGGCCCTGACACAGCGATGCTGAGGCTCGCCCTTTTTCCCGTGCGGGCGTTGTTCAAACACCTCCCCCTGCCCCTTCCCACTGAGTCTGGCGGGTGGGCCCGGAGGCCTCCTGGGCGCAAGCGCGGGCCCGCAGGTAGAGGACCAGCGCGCAGCCCCACAGCAGCCAGAAGCCCAGAGGGTTCAGCGCAGGCCAAGCCGGCCCTGGAAACTGGGGGAAACTGGGCTCCAAGGCTCCCAATGATAACCTTTTGAGGGGCCGGGGGGATGGAAAACAACACATCTCTCTCTCTCTCTCTCTCGCTCTCTCTCTCTCTTTCTCTCTTATTAAAAATAGAGTGTATAGATTTGAATATATATATATATATAACTATACAGCTGCTTGTGTTGAAAAAATGCAATGTAAAATTGGAAGAAAGGCTTGTATAAGGTTTCCACGCATGGTCTCTCAGCTGCATGTACACAAACGCCTCGCTGACATTTCGTGGCCGGTTTCTTGCAAGCACGGTCGTTTAATGCTAAAAAGGTACGCATTCAACTCCGACCGACGACTACGCCTCGTTCCCCTATCTTCGCCTTCTTCCTTCGGAGTAAAAGCATTACTAGCCGGCTGACAAAGCAAGCGCAATCCATTGGCCACACAGGGTGCCTTAATCCTTGCCCTGACCCGTGACCGGTCCAAGGCGCCGCAAGGAAGCCAGGGCCGCACGGAGGGACTGAGCAAGGCCAGCTTTTGCCTCAGTCGCTGCCCATGGACGTTTGCCGTTTGGAAAGCACCCGTCAAATGATACCCCCTTGGCACAATGCGCAAAACGAGAATAATTCATCGACACCGTGGCATCGAGAGCGAAGGGACAAAGCAAAACAACCACTGCCGCAGCCGCGCAGCCGCTGCAGTCTTCCAGAGATGGCAACAGCCTTGTCATGCCATCACTTGCTATCGTCCCTGCAACGTGTCAAATCGAAGTTGGTAGACCAAGGCACCTGAGTGGAGTCTTTGTCCACAGCACCAAGGCGAGAAGTAGGTGGTATCCGATCCTTGGGCAACCAACACATTGCCGCGACATCGTCTGCCTGTTCACCATGGCCTGATGGAATAGTTCTTAAAATAATATGTTGCTTGCTTTCAAGCCAACCTCGGCACAGCAGTCAACCCTGCAACAATTTGCACGGTTGGACGCAAAGGGGATATACAACATGGCCACTGGCCCTAAGCACAAGCTTGTCCCCAATTGTTTGTTCTGTTCCGGAGAACAAATACTTATCGTAGCGTCCGGTCAAAAGACGCTCCCTTTGCTCACAAAGCCCCTCAGACTCGCAGATGTCCACACAAGAAAGTTGACTGGACGTCCCTTCCGGTTGCAGGTGAAGGGGCTGGAATCGACGCTCAAAGTTGTTCATGGGTTACTGTACTGAGAGGAAGACAAAGGCATAGCTGGGCAAAGGAAGCACTGGAAAGGGAAAGGTCTTGTGTGCCCATAAGCCTTGTTCCGGGCGGAGCGGGCACACAGAAAAAAAGAAAGATCCATGGGGCGACGTGGCCTTACGCAAATGCAGCCGGTAACATGTCTAGGTGAATCAAAACATGGGACCCTCAAAATGCTGGTTTTACTTTCCTTCCCTCGACACGAACCTGAAATAGGGGGTCAGTCTTCTCCCACAAGTCGATTTCGTGTGGTCTGCCGCTGCAGCCCGGGCGCCCCGAATTGGCAAAGAGGAAGTCGCACCGCCGGCGCCAGCCGCTGCGCGGGTCGCGCCAATAGTTCACCTCAGGTGCCCTGGGAGCAAAGTCGGGGGAAGGTTGACATCCCATCAACCACACGATGCTGTCCCAGTTCTTGGTGCGGGGGGCTCGTGTCTAGCCCTGGAAAACGCCCATGATACAAGCTCTTGCGCAGCCCCGAACCCTGAGACGCAGAGCCCGCACGGCCTTTGTGAGGGACTTCGTACGCAGTCCTTTCTGAGGGAAACAAGTGGAATTGTCGACCAAAAGCACCATATGAATGATCTCATTCCAGCTCCTTTCACGAATTCCCTGCTCGGAACCTTCACGGAACCCTCCCGCAACCCGCCCTACGCCACCCCAAGATGAGGATTAGCTGAGACCGCATAGCTGTCGCTGTTGGGGAAACATCAGTGACTCCTTTGCTGGGCGACAAGCGACAAGAAGGATCTCTCCCTAGACGAGGAGCTGTTCCGAGCAGCACCTCAGCTATCCAAGTGATCCAAATACAGTTGTTTGGTGTCATATCACAATGTTATCCAAACATTACATGGTGTGAGACCCAAAGTCAAAAAACGGTGTTGCTCTTTGCCCAAAGGGCCGGCTGAGGGAAGAGCAAGATCAGTTTGTTGACATGGATGTGACCAACAGACGCGACTTCGGAGAAGTCCTGACGGCTGGTCCCGCCGAGAACTTGAGTGCAAAGTGCACATCCGCCACGTGCTTCTTGCGATCCTTTCGGCCAAGAATTCATGTTTATGTTGCCCCGGCACCAGCAGGCACAGCGCGCTGCACAGGAACTGGCCGTGCAGTGCTGCGAGGCCTGGAAGCGTCAGAAATTGTCGACCACATGTCGCCGCTTGGTCAGGACAAAAATGGCGGAACCCGCTCCGCTCAAATCAACATCAATGATAAAATGTGAAACAAAATGAACATTAAAGAACCCCTACTGAAAGTAACGATCCTTCAATACAAACATGTCCCCTTCTGCTGCACCGTGACGTTCAGCCGGACCCTCCTACCTCGCCTCCTGTGCTCCGTTCAGCCATGTTCCTCGCCCAAGACCCACGTCAGCCTGCAGTGATGGCTACCAGCCAGGAGGAGGCAAAGACCCGCCGCGAGTAGGGGAGAGGAACCACCACCTCAGCCTCGGCTGAAAAACGTGGCGGAATGGCACCTGCAGGAAGCGGACGCCTTTCTTTGTCCAAGGTCAATTTTAGACCCCAGCAAACAACTCCTGGCACGTTCACAAAATCACACTCGGCAAAGAGGATTAAAATCCACGTGCCACGCAGCTGAACGGCGCCCCTCAGCAACATCTTGCCGCTCTGGAGCCTGGGTGTCGCTTGCGCGCAATGTGGTGATTGCAATTGGCCGCACTGAAATCGGCTGAAGCGTGTTCAGCCAAAGCATCCAGCCAAGGCTCCCCGCAGAAAACGCCGAATCGGCCAAGCTGCCCTTTGCCTCCGGCGAAGGCTCTGGCGCGCCCGAGGGCCTGAACGCGATTAAACTCCGGAAAACCCAAGAAGATCGATACACTTCGTGAAATTCGAGTAATTCCAAAGGGAAAGCGTATGGTCAGCATCTTGAAGGGAATTGCACTTTGGTCCTTGTCCAAATGCGGGCCCGCCTTTGCCAGGCACAGAAACCATCAGCATTTCAATGTGCCACAGGAATGAAGTGGAATGCAAAGGGGGCAAAGTGCAAATGGCAGTTAACTCAACTTTAGGTTTCCGGCCTTTGTCGCCATCTCTCCGCGGGTGTCTCCGCAGGCCTGGCGCCAGGTCAGCAGCCCTGACCGAGGATTGCGACTGACATAATCGTCGCGCGAAGGACGCTGATGAGAAGCTGAGAAGCCCTTGGTGTCTGCTCATGAGAACAAGGAGTCAGAAAAAAGAAAGATTCCCTCACTGGCTTCTGAACTTCCGGGTCAGTACCATGCCCTTGACATGGTGGAGCTCCGAGACAGTCGGCATTCCCAACTTCTCCGCGTTTTTGTCCAACACACCCAAAACGTGGTCTTGTTTGGCTCTAGTCTAGTCACTTGCTGCAACAAATTTCCCTTCTTGAAATGCTGAAGTGGCAGTCACCGACGCCCAAGGTGACTGCTATCCCCGCTGTATGAATCATGCGGTTCTCCTCGACTTTGCATCTGCAGACTCCCCTCATGGCCTCTCCCAAAGGGGACCCCTCCAGATTTTGGGCGTACGTTTACGCGTGTTCCCCTCAAAACAAAAACAGAGGAAAGTCCTGCTTCCAGGGGACATCCATGTACTGTCTCTGTCTCCCACTTGCCGCGTCTCGCCTTGCGACCGAAGCAGCGGGCACTGCAGGTGGAAGCAGCAGCGCCGGCCGCGCAAGCATTGCTGCGCTGTTGGCTAAGTTGTAAACAAATTTCTAAACGGAGGGACCCTCAACAAAAGGTTATCTCTTTTCTGCAAACACCAGCCAAAAGCAAGGCAGGCAATTTGTGGGTGAAAAATGCAGAAGCCTGCCAAAATGATGAACAGGAAGCGCCAACTTTGGAACAGGGCCAGCTGGCTATTGTGGAACATTGACTTGTCGGGATGAAGAGATTCCGGCGCACACAGCGTGTCGCCCTCAACGGTATCAAAGCCTGCAAAGCGTTCCCGACAGGCTGCTTTCCACTGCATCAGGGCTCCATCCCAATTTCCCAAATGGACAGGTCTGAATTCCTTGGCACGTGCCACAGCTCCAGTTGCCAGGCTGCCGGCTGGTTGCCGTGAGTTTTGCCGCCTTGAAACCAGGGGGGGCCAGCCCCTTGTGCCCGAGGCCCCGCGCAGTGAAGTCGTCCAGCCTAAACACCAGGCGCCACTTGGCTGGAAGCAACGGAGAGTGGCCAGCTTATCCAGAGGTCCCTGCTTTTGACACATAATCATCACGATGTGGCTGGTGATTGTTTCTTTCTTAAGATGTTCCGGGATGGCGCATGATCGCGCTGATCAAAGTCTATCTTTGTGGAAAGAATGCAACGGGGCATGGAGCCTGGTGGCCTAGCTCTCTCCGGCTGCTGACAAAGGCCGAATTCACTCCCAACCCCTTTCCAAGTGGAGGGTGAGCGTGACGTGGCTTTGCTGCGAACGACCATCTGAACCAGGGTTGGTTGAAAGTGCGTTTGTCTCTGTGTGTGTGTGTCTCGCTCTCTCTCTCTCTCTCTCTATCTCTCTCTCTCTCTCTCTCTGTCAATCTCTGTCTGTCTCCGTCTTTCTAGCTCCCTGTCTCTCTGCCTGCCTGCCTCCGTGACTGCCTGCCTGCCTGGCTGCCTGCATGTACTGTTTGCGTATTCCAAATGTAGACACACACACACACACCCTTACCACTGCATGACCATGAAAAGCATTTGGGGCTCGGGCTCGTGGGCGTTGGTGCCGGGCCGGAGCCTGCTGGCCGAAAAAGCGCGGGGCGTGTGTTAGAAAAAGAAAAAGAAGAAGAAAAAAAAGAGAACCGAAAACAGGGCTCCCTAAAGGCTCGCTTCTCCAAATGGGGGGGGCCCTTAAAATGGTTGGTTCCATTTGGTCTCCCTTCAAATGGCTGTGGCTCAAAAAACCGGTACCAAAATGGAACCCTGGTAAGTGGAAAAATCCTGCGTACACCCTCCTGTTTAATTTTGAGCCACACCCAAATACCTGCCAAAGGGGGGGCCACAAATTCTGGGTCTTTCGCCTTGAAGCGTCACCCATACCAGGGGAAACAATGGAAACTCACCTCAGAATGGCCAAACTGGTGTCGTCTGAAGCCACCAAAACGGAAAATCTGTTGGCTTCTGAAGAGCCAGGCGATGTTTGACGCAACATTTCGAACCAATGGCCCCCTTTGTTTGGCAGGCGGTTTCGAAATTTGAAAGCCCCTCTGAATGGTTTATGCACTTCCTGTTGGCAGCGAAAGCATTGGCGGAGGTTCCTTGGGGCCCCTGCAATGGAGAACCTTCACAAGTGGAGCATGCCCACCAAGAGCATAACAAGAAGAACAAAAAACATAACAGGCCCTTCAGCTAATGTTGGACCGTGACTACCTGCAACCTCAAACTTCTCAAATCGGATTAGACTCAGAAGTTCAGAAGCTTTGAAGCACCGGCCGCGCGGATGCGAAGCTTCCATCAGATTCCTTCCAATGAACGCAACCCCCTTCAACCTCCACGAGGGTCAAAAAGAGTCACAGGATGTCACAGGCCTCCGTTACCTCGTCCTTTCCCAAAGCTCCAGACTTCTCAAAGCGCCCAAAACGCCCTGCCCTTCGAGACTCTTTTTGAGCGTCCCTGTTCGGCAAGGGGCTGCGCCATGCCCACCTTCCGCGCCAGGCTGGACAGCCACCTGGCCAAGGTCGAGAAATGTGTGATTCGGAGGCACTCCAAAACGGGAAGACGCAACAGGATCAACGGAGGGCCGGTTGCGATCGCTGGTTGCGATCGCTGCTTCAGGCCAAAGCTGATTCATTCCTCAATCATGCCAAGCTACACCAGCTACGCCCCCCATGCCCCATTCTGACCGCTTACTCCTTGCAACAAAATGAGGCGACAAGAGCGCCCGCCTGGCCCTGAGCGCCTTGCCGGTGGCCGCCAGCAGTAGCAGCCGGCGCTCCGTGCTGGGCATCGGCTCTGGCAGCCCCTATCGACCGGAGCCATCCATGGTTTGGGGTATCGAAAGTGTCACACGACGATAGAGCTTGTTTTTTGAGTTCTCGAGTCAGCAAACGATTTGACAGGCAAAGGGTAAGCCTTGAACAATTGCCGGACAAATGCTGCAAGTGGGCCGACAAAATATGAACCTCAAACCCGTGGGATGCAAGTGAAAAGTCCTGCCCACATTCCCGCCACTCTGCACTCGCACACCGTGAAGAGCCAAGCACGAGGCAGCTCTGTTTTTCGAGCTGCAACAAATGCGACGCCAAACGCAAATTCATCCCTGAATTCTCACCAGCTCGCAACAAGGGAAACACCGCCCGGGGGCTGCAGTCAGTACAGTGCTTGAGGATGTAAGCACTGGATGGCCCCGATTCATGACAGCATACTGCGAACCCCTCTGGTAAGTGCCTGGTTATTGTTGAGCAGCCATCAATAACCGCTAACATTTGGTCCTGCGAAGATGCTTTTGCGTTCTTCTTTACATGCCCTCGCCTGCCAAGTTTACCAAACCAGTAAAGCTGATCTTAGCATCACAGGACTGGGTGAAACGCGCAGCGGCCTCTACCTTTGCCACTGGGACCCCGCCCCACACAACAGCAACAACCGTCGGCCTTGTGGCTGGGCCGGCCGGGCAGCGGCGCGTAGCTGAGGCTAAAGGGGTGCAGCAGCCGTCCTTCACCTGGAACCAAGGACGCCACTCAACTGCGCCTGATAGAGCCGACTGAGACAATGACACAAAAGCTGCTTTTTGACACATAGGAGCAATGTTTCTGCGCACCTCTCCACCCAATCTCTGTAAAAGTGGCAAAACTCCTCAGATCTTGAAGGTTGAGATGATGCTGGCGTAAGTCTCCAGGTTCACTCAATCACTCGACAATCTCACGCCAAATCACTCTAAGCAATCTGCCTGAGCAGTCACTCCCAAGCAATCTGTCTGAGCACGCAACCTCTCTGAGCAATCTTATGCGCAATCTCTCTGAAAAAATCTCTCCGTGGCATGTCTCCATGACATCTCTCCGTCTCTTACCGACACGTCTCGGTGCATTCCTCTCGGGTTGTCTTTGGTTACATTTGACCTTTCTCGGCGCCATTAAAACAGCGACTAAAGTGTCCTTGTGGTGATGCCTCCGTTTGCAGTTGCCACAGTGTCCCACCTATGCAACAGGGCAACAATTGTCCTCTCAGCTGCCACTTGTCCCTGGAGCTAGTCTGCCAATCCCACCCTCGAGAAAAAATGCTTAGAACCTTAGAAGGGGTTCTTTGAAGAGTGCTGAGAACCTTTCTGGGGCGTGTGGGGGGGGGGGGGGGAGAGGGGCTTTATGACCCCATCGCGGGTCCCACAAAAGTATAAACCTGAATTGGGCTTGGTTTGGAATGTGTCCCCACTAAACTCCGTTTCATTTGTTTTACATTTTGTTTAAGAAAAACAAAAAGACATGAGGTGCTTTCCACTTCTAGAGCCGGGCCTTTTCTTCGGGTCCCCTGTCACCCCATCCAAAACGACGTCTCAAAGACTCTGCCGCTTTCGAGGCGCTGGTCACCGGCTTCCAGGGCGCAACGGCAAAGGGCTGCGTCCAGTCCGCGTCCAGAAACGCCTCCTCAGCGCCGGTCGCGTCGCGGCGCGTCGGTGTCGCATCGGTGTCGCTTTGTTGGCCTGGTGACCTCTGAGATCTCTGGGCTGCCCTCAGATCCGCCGCTGAAAGTTTAACTTTTGGTGGGTTAAATGGAAACTACCGCTAAACGCTGGTTGGCCTGGTGGCCGGAAACTCGATGAGTCCTCTCGTTGCCTGGCGCTTTCACGTGCCAGGCGGCAAATCATCTATGAGGCTTTCAAACGCCTTCAAGAGCCCTCTTTACTGACATTTCCAAGTCAAGCATGGCAATGCTTGCGGGTCTTGCACATCCAAGGCTTCGCCAGAGTCATGCTCAGGACCCTTGACTTGAGCCTGCTGAACGCACTGCTCCAGCTGAGGAGGCGCATAGAATGCTCCGTTCAATCACCCCCCCCAGGTCTGTTCTTTGTCTTTGTACCGTGCGCTAAGGGTAATGATTCTCCAAAGAGAAGCTCTTCCACCCTAGTTTCATCGCTGCGAGCCTCGTGTGCCCACGAGACAGGCCAGCAGACCCAGCAGTTTTTACGCATGCCATTGGCAAGATTCGTGTATTTGAGCAAAAAAGCTGTTCTCCTGACCGGCCTAAACCCCCGGGACGCGAAACTGCCAAGGCACCCCGATGGCCGAGGACCAAAAGGACAAAGAGCCGTCGGAGTTGTGCGCAAAGCGCATTGGCAACCACTCCAGGGGCCCTGAGACGGGCCGAAGAAGGAGAGCAAAACTTCAGATCTTGAGACTTTCTCAAATGCTGCTGCGCAGCGTCGTGGACCAAGCGAACAACACTTCCCCTCCAACTAGCGGCCTCTCACTGCCCAAGCCTGGCAGTGTCTCATGATTGTTCAAGCCTTAGCGTGACAGCATTGCCGACAACAAACCCACGTCTCCCAGCATAGCACGAAGTAAGGACTCAGCCAGAGCGAATATATGATCCAACAGCAGACAAACATGCCCCATGTCGAAACCTCAAACAGGGCTTCCACTTCTCCCCCCAAGCCCACTTCTCCCCTCAAGCCCAACCGTCTCCGGTCTCCATCCATTCCCCGCCTCTCTGTTCTCGGCCCACATACAGCGTGCCCTCCACTAGTCGCGAGCCCTCCGCTGGCGGCAAAGCGCCCGCGACGGGCAGCGAGGAGCTGCGCTGCATAGCTCGTCCGGCGAGGCTTGGGCTTAGCTGAAGGCCAAAACCGCATTAAACCCATGTCGACTTGAATCGTAGATAGGTGGTAGGGCGTGCCAAGCAGTGCTGAGCATGTGTAGAAAGGTGTCTGTGTGTCTGTGTGTGTGTGCGATGCCTGCTGGCCCTCCAACATGTGACTTTGGTGGCAAGCTCGCATGCGCCAAACCATAGATTGCAAAACCAGAAAGCTATCACAAGCATGTATCGATGGTCACAGGCATTGCGGGGGCATGTCAGTTGTCACAGACTCATGGCCTCCTTACAAACAAGCCCTCCGAATCAAACTACCCACAAGCTTGAGCAATGGAGAGTGACCAGCAGGCAACAGAACCATGCTCCGAGCTATGCAACCTAGACTGGCAACTGAGGACATGAGCATGTCCCAACTCCCACTGGTTGAACATAATCGTCTCCCTCGGCTGTGCTGTCTGCAGTTACTTGCTTTTCGCGCTGTCTACGCCGTCTCTCACTTGCGTGGGGCATCTCCTGCATTGCTCCACTGGACAACCGTTCTCAACCCTCACAGCAGCTGGCGTCAGGCAACAGCAACCCCTTGGTATGTGAATATGTAAACTTGAACCATTTCGTCTCACGACCTTCCAAAAGCCTTGGATGATACCTAAGTGCAATGGCTTGCACCATAGACCAACGTGAGTTGCCAGCGATGCTTGGTTCCAAAGGGGTGCCCCTGGGAAGTATGGGTGTGAATTTGAATGAAAACTCAGAGCCATACGAAGAAAAGCCTCGTTCGCCTACCCAAAGGCTACAGGAAAAAATGGGCCATGGGCTCTGACTCCGCAGGATCCGGTCGCGATCCCTCGAGAATCACCGGAGCCAGGTTCCAAAGGCCATCCACTAATTAGATCCAAGGGGATGGTCTCACATTGAGAGAGTGAGGGTGAATTTTCGAAATGGCCATTTATCTTTCCCGAATTCTAGCGAGCCACGGTCAAAAGTGAGCCACGGTCAAATTTGCACTTACCCATACTCGACGTGCGAACCTGGTGTTTTTTTTGTGGCTTGTGCGGAAGTTTAGTCTTAGTCTCCAATGTCCCCTCACTGACTGCACCGACTGGACTTGCTGACCCTTCAGGTCCCTCAACTCCCGCGGCCTGCCGAAGGGCAAGATCTCCACCCGGCAGGTGACCTCGGCCGATACGGCCGATGTTTGAACCACGTCTTGCGGTAGCAACTCTGGGCCGGTGCCATGGGTATTCTTCTCTGTGCTTTTGGGAGCACACGTGCTACGAACAACGCCAGGCGAAAAGCTTGGCGTTCGTGGCCTGCGTTCGGTGCAGTGACCTCGTACTGTACTTCTCCAGGCAGCCCCAGAAAGAAAGAAAGAGTTCAAGTGAGAGTGCGTGGGATGTTGTTGTCATGCTAGCAAAGGGTCTTGCCTGTTTTGGGTAGCTGAGAGGGCGTTGGCAATGGGTGGTTTCCTTTTGGCGTCCCGTTAAATCACCCAAAAAAGGTACCCTCAAGAAAAGACACCCAAATGAGAATTGCAGCGTGTCCGAGGTCCTTGCAGATTGAAGCATGGCCGTGTCATTCGCGGCAAGTGCCTGTGCGGCCATCTGGTGAGCAATGGAGCTCACTCCACTGATTGAATCAACGCCAATGCCCAAAGCCCTTCAAACTCTCGGCAAGCGACGCCTCAACCCTGCCACTCACTTTCAGACGCAGAAACCAATCACCAAGTATGGGCAGCGCATTCCTTGAGTGTGAAAGAAGTCACTCCATGTGTTGCATGCCGCTCCTCAGCACTCCAGCAACTGGCGAAGTGCTTCCCTTCCAAATATGTTCTGCTGAGATTGAGATACATTGGGACAGCAGTGATCAAGAAGCAGAGTGCGCTCCACCAAACTTGAAACCTTTTCTGAGGATATCAAATTTCGGGTTGGTTTCAAGGACCCCCCAAAGGGAAAGCACCGAGTTTGGTGCATTTGAGACTTCGGCGAAAACGCCTGCCTGGCGCAGTGGCGAAGGCCACTCGCCCCGCAATTCCATCTCCAGCTGGCATTAGCAGTTGATCCAAGATGTGAAACCCCCACTTGGGGCTGGAAGATCAGGGTTGATAGGGAACCGGCGTTGGGTTAATCCTCCAGAAATGAGAGCAAATGGCTGGGCCAAGCGTGAGGGATCCGAGTTCGTGTCAGCTTCGCCATCAAAACACTTATATGCAACTGTCACATGCTAGGAAACTTGTGTTTGTGTAGCTGTTTGTTTTGTTTGTTTGCTTGTTTGCTTCTTTCCGTGCTTGTGTGTCTGCTTGTTTGCTTGTTTGGTTGGTTGGTTGGTTGTTTGCTTGTTTCTGCTTGGTTGGGGATACCATGCACCTTGGTTCAAGCGGTTCCAAAAGGAATACCATCATTTGTAGGGTCCTCCTAATTCGACACATACCCACTTGGAGCCAACTCTAGCTGATTTGTGAATTAGAGTACAGTTCTGGGCAGGATAAGACAGAATAGATAGATAGATCGATGGGATAAATATAATATACATATGAGAGAGAGAGAGAGAGCGAGAGATGGAGCTAAAGTCAGATTGATTACATTTGATCTACTGCACCTTGGCAGGGAAAAGACAGCAGGCCTTTCCCAAAGGCTTGCAGTGCGAACCTCAAATGGGAGGGCTTCTCAAAAAATAAATGGCCCCCTAAAATGGCAACGGTGTCCATCTTGATTCCCTTTAAATACCAAGCAAAAGGAGCGGTTCCACCAAGAAACGCTCAAATGACTCAAATGTTGAGCCCTTGGAGACCAAGCCAAAGTTCGACCTGCCCCCATGCCTCCACACCGCGGCTCTCCACCTATCAACCATCCGTCCCCCCAAGAAAGGCCCCAAAATAGGCGTCCATCAAACCCAGGTACTTTCACATTACCCGCCCAGCAGATTGTAGCTGGATGGAGTCTGACTAAGTGCTCATCATCCGTGGCCCGATTGCCTCTGCGAGCTTTTGCACCTTCTACTACCTTCATGAGAATCCGCATAACTTGGGAAATGCCTCCACAAACTCACAGTGAAGAAGGTGCCCTTACCACGGACAACTTCACTCGCCGCCTTCCCTCCAACAAGACTCATGCCCAAAGCCCGCGAAAGCCAGCGCTGCATATTCAGAAGGTTCAGCGCTGCCCGTTGCAGATCCCAAGTGCGTACCCTCCTCCAGGCTAACATGGAAGCTCCCAACATGGAAGCTCCCAGGACCTCTTTGAAAGACTTGCTTCCATTTACAAGGACCTTCTGGGAGCTTCCATGCTAGTCTGAGGGAATGCACAGCATCAGCAAATTCTAAAATCGAGCCAGAAACTGAAATAAGGATTCCCCGAGTAAGGAGCCTTTAGATAAGCGACATAAAATTTGCAGAAACTAGGCAGTACTTGGTACATTAAGCTTTGTAGCCAGCTTTCAGGATCAAGACATCTCAGGCGCTTGAAAAATGTCCTCTCAAATGTGCTCTGCACGTTCGCCCGATATGCTGTTTAACGTTCAATTCCGAATGCAGGAATATCTCTCAATCGCAACGACGGGAGGTACGTCGAGAGGTTCGCTTCGATCGCGTAGTGCCTTGCACCTTTGTCAACAACGACTTTGCTTGCAAGCATCAACGCCTACAAATGAACAAACCCAGAACTAATGGCATAGGACATAAGAGCCAAGCCACAAGCGAGGAAAAGGAACACCTCCATTGCGGCCAAGGCACCAGGCGGCCGGCAAGAGGTCGGCGCTTGCCTGCACAATCGCGAAAAGTGTGCTGGAAAGGGATTCGCCCCGATTGGTCTGTCTGCCTGCAACACACGTTGGGCATCAGCGAAGCTCGATTGTCTCCCCGCAATTTTACTGCTGCAGGCCATTTCCTGCCAAAGCCAAATTCATCGGCCGGTGCACGATGTCATTCTTGAATGTAGGAGTGAAGATCAGTGGCCCTTAACCCCCTTTGCAGCCCGGGTTTACGTGCCTTGAATCTCGTAGCACAAGGACAGCGCGATTGCCAGCTGCAGCACGGGACCTGCCAGGCACGTGTCACGAGCCGTTGGCCCTCAGGAAACGACAGGAGCGATTGCTGTGACCGTTTTCAGCCGGAGCTAGGTCAGCCGACCTGTTCTAAACAGCACTTGTGGCCAGCACAAGGAACTGCCCATTGACAAGTTTTGCTGTTGCATCCTACAAAGTATTGTGCGCGATAAGGGGGAACGCAATGACAAAAGTGTCCATGGGAAGCATCGGAATGAAGAATTTGTTGCATCACACTGATCGCTGCACAGTGACAAATCATCACTCGCCTTTCTCACCAACATGCCCTGACCTCTTCTGAGTTTGTGGCTAAACCAATTTGAAGAAAAGGTGCAAAACGCCTCCCCGCTTCGCCGAAGCCGCCAACTTTGCAGACTGCCGAAGGCCACCACAGGTTCGGACCCGTGTGTCACATCAGATAACAATTCGATGACCTACGATTTCACGCAGAATGCACAAGGGAACGAGACTAATTCATTGAAGTCAGGACTTGGGAATTTACTGCCAGGCTTGAGCTTCTGCCTCAGTGAAGACTGTCAAGGAACGTAAACAGGGAAATGCAAGTGCAGAAAGTGGGATCCTGGGAAATTGTGCCAATTGCCCTCACTGTCCCATAGGAAAATTCTGCAATACTTGCGTTGGCGGGAAACACTCGCACTGGCGGGAAACACTCGCACTGCACCCAGGAGCTGGCCGAAAAAAGTCCCGGCAAGCGGCTCCCCGGGGAACGCCGACTTTCCTTCCCCGGACCGCACCTCTCGCTGTGAGCGACAAGCGCCAGCCCTCGTCCCTAGCCGGGATCGGCCATTCCGGGCTTCCACTTCCGCAACTCGGGACAACTAAGCTGGAAAGCCTACGTCTGGCTGTCCAGTGTTCGAAGGGCATGCACCGCAAAGGGAGGCAGAAAACATAGGAGCTGTTTCAGAAGCGCCGCATCTGTTGGCAGGTTCAAAAGTTCAAATTCCAAGCCGATGGTAAGGAAAGCTGCATCCTTCACGTTCGAATGCTCAAGGTCCCATGGCACTTTTGAGACTGTGACAGAGACAAACCACCACTCCAACTAGCTCCCTGCCTTTGCTCCGCGGCGAGGCCTCATAGGACACTCGGTATGCCGAAGTACCCGTTGCTCAGCGGTTGTCGCTGCGCTGATTTGTGACAACCCAGCAAGCAATCATACGGTGATTCTCTGTCCCAACAATCTAATTTTGCTTGGGATATGTGTCCACCTGGAATTGTAGGTGACTCCAGTGGGTGGTGTTATATGCTGCACCATGCTTCCAGCCTTGCTGAGTTACCTGTTGCGCAGGCATTGGCACCATGTCAAAAGTCACCAGTGGGGTCGGGTATAAGGCTGCACCCCGCTGAGCCCCACTTAGCAGTGCCTTTTGTGACAGCTTCCTGATGCGTGTGCACCTGTGATTTGGCAATTTGTGTGACGCATGAAGGCAATGACCCGCAATCCTCTTACTGCTATCGCAGCCTGCAGTACTGCAGAGTCCGAGGCTGCAAGGTGTCCCCAAGGCTGAACCTGCTGCTGCTTTTCTGCAGTGTGACTGTCAACGCGAGGGCGAAAGAAAGTGAGGCAGCGAGCAGTTACGAAATCAAGGCCCGGTGGCTTGCCGTGCTGCAACTTGGAGTGTGGGGCGCAGCCTCTTCTTGCGCAGGCTGACAGCTGCTGCCGTGGGGCTGCTTGTGTTCAACGCGGGCAAGCGCGAAGTTCTCCAAAAATGCGCTGCAAAAAAGGCAGAGGTGGACAAAGGGGTTTGCTGTCTATGGCTTTGACGACTCTCGCTACTTAAGTTCGGGCGAATTCGGGATGTTTGCATTATTCACCCGGAATGCCGTTGGGCGATCGTTGCAGCATCTGATCAGAATCTGCTCGCATACTGTCATTTGAGAGTTTGATGGACGGGACAGCCTCCAAAAGCCTTGCAGAAAGGAGGAAGCTCAAGTCAACTAAGCTCTTCCTGTTGAACCAGGTCTCTATTTCCTTTATCCCCCGATCTTGTTTTGACCCCCTTTCAAGCTGTCCCTTGCACAGAGTATCAAGACAAATCAAAGAAACTCTCAGTGGTTTTGGGGGGGAGTTTCCCAACCGATGCCGGCCCCTGGGTTCTTCGGGCCGCCGGGCCGCTGAAGCTCAAGGAGAAGTCGGCGCCTCGCAGGGAGACCAAGGCGTTTGACGGGCGAACTTGGAGATGCCCGCCCGTTCTAAGGGCCTGTATCACAGAGTTCTCACGCAAACAAGGTTTAGTATTGCGTTGGTACTAGGGGTTCTTAAATCAAGCAGCGTGCCGCTGCTGGGCTGCCCAACATATTGCCTCTTTGGCATCTGCCGGGCCCGGGACATGACGCTGCCCTCCAAGCCTGGAACTTCCGGCAGCTGGAAGCTGTGGAAGCTTCGAGTCAACCTGTCCAGCCCGGCGGCGCAAGTCGACATGGAGCGCCCAACCCTTCTGGCCAAACCGGGCCCAACCTTTCTCCAACAATTCGAAAGCCGCCTAATGTTCACGGGGGGTTCCCCTAATACAAGCTCAAAAATATCCGCAGTAGTTGTAGAATATGCACATGTCAGCCGGGTGGCCCAAAAGCATGACACGTAGTGGGCGTTGATGGCAAGCATTCCTGTGTTCGCACGTTCCTGCGAGGTGCGGCAGCATATGTTTGTTCTGCGCCGACGCTTGTTGTTTGCAGGGCGGCTCCGCGGTTTGCGCTCTTGGCACACGATTCTCTGCGCAAGTGCGTTGCGCGTGCATTTGTTCTCTTCAAGTCGCTCAGCGCAAGCTTTCCCGCGCGTCATTATCACTGCTGGGGTCTCAATGCTGGCAACTCGGCACCAGCATCCTAGCGCACATCGACCACGCTGATCCAGAAAGAAGGCCACGCGGCCAAATCCAAAACCAATTAACCAAAGTCCTCAGCTTTTGCGCCTCGACTGCGCCGATCTCTGCAGAGACGCTGATCCACGCACAGGGTCGCGCACGAACTGCAAAACGTAGCACAACCTCGCGTTCTTGACCTCGCCAGGCAAACCTCGAGCGTGAACCTTGACCACGCAAATCCACGCGCCGCAGAGTGGGTTTGGCACCACCGCGCCATGTCTCACACGAGCTTTCTGCTGCACGTTGGCTCGCGCAATTCGCAGCGCGTCTCTCTCACGCAATTTGCTGCGAGAGCTCTCTCGCGGCAAATTGCGCGACTTCTCTCGCTTCTTGCTCTACACGTGCTCTCCTGTTTCTTGCGATGCATGTGATGTGCTCTCGTGCATCCTGCTGCGCGTGTGCTGTTGCGCATCTTGCTCTGCAGGTGCTCTCGTGTATCTTGCGACACGGAAGTGTTTCTCAGCGTGTCCGAGCCCTCCACGAAGGTCCAGTCATGATCTTCGGGCACGCTCCTTGGAAGCAGCCGAAGCGCTTGCGTCTCAGGCATTGGCGCTTGTTCTCGACTCCAGCCAGCAAAGCAAGCGTCATTCCCCACCCCCACCCCCCAGTCGAAAGTGGTCGAGACACAACTGGTTGGAAGCAAAGTGTGTGCTCCAACTTACATTTGCTCCCTGGCTCAGGCCACAAATGAAGCGGCAGTGGCGCCCAGCCAACTTCAGTGACGGAAATCACACCTTGCCGCCTTTGTTTGTCCACTCCAACCTTCCCTGGCGCTTCTTCAACTCCCGGCAAAGCGTGCCCCAAAAGGCCAAAGAAGAGCTGTGACCCCCGGCGCCAAGAACCGCGCCTCTCCGGCGCGAACGGCCGCCAGGACAAACCCCTAGGGCCCCTGCGTGCGCCAGACGCGCGTTGGGGAGGTGAAGCGGGGCGGTATCACTGGTGACGCCCGCGTTTTCTTCATACTGCAACATCCGGAACCGAACTCTGTCAAACGTCCCATGCTGCAAGTGCCTATCCGGAAAGAAATCACCTTGGCGTGGAGCCATGGCCAACGGGAACAACACAGCCACTCTAAGTCAATTTCGGACCAGGCCCGAACACCCTCGATTGTTTGACGTTCCGGTGTACGAATGAGTGGTCCCTATGCGCGCAGTACTCACAGCATTCCAGAACAAAAATCCAAACTTACAAGAAAAGGAATGATAAACCCACGTCATCTGCTAGAGCGGGACATAACTTTGCCACACCCGCTTTACAAGATGAGGCAAACATCCCAGCCGCACCTGGGCCTTCCTGATCCGGCCTCAGCTGCTCCAAATCCCGCTGCACTTCCTTGGCAAAAGCATCCAGGGCGCTGTGCTCCTCGCCAAACTGCTGGCGAGGAGCGTTTGGTTCGAGTTGGGCGGATAGCGACTGGCGGGCCCGATTTCACCAGGGTTCTACGGGAATCAAGATGTCACATCAACCCTCTCACAAATTGCATCAGAACAACGACGCCGCGGAGCGCAAAGCCCCGACTGCCTCGCGGCAAAACATCTTCAAGACGCAAATCTTCACCGTAGATTCCCGAATATTCCCGGTTGCCACCTTGTGGAAGCTCAGCCATTGACGTCTCTCAAAGAGCAAGAACTCAAGAAAGAAACCAAAAGAAAAAGAAAAAAAAGACAGGCGGAAACAAGAAATAAAAGAGGGAAAAACAAATACAAAGATGGGAAAAAGAGGCAGACGGAAACAGAGCAACAAATAGAGATAAAAGGTAAACATAGAGAGAGAGAGAGAGAGGGAGGGAGGGAGCAAGGGAGGGAGGGAGGGAGGGAGGGAGGGAGGGAGGGGGAGGGAGGGAGGGAGGAGGGAGGGAGGGAGGGAGGGAGGGAGGGAGGGGGAGCAAGGAACACATCTTTGTCCTGAAGCCAGACCATTTGCATGGCATCGGCCTCACGCTGGATGTCTAGCATGGCAGTGCCTTGCATGGGTACCGAATATCGCGACAGCAATATATGTAGCATATTGCATTTGCGCAGGATGCTCAACCAGCACTTAAGCACTTGGGTGTGTCAAACTCACAATCCCGCCTTAAAGGAGGGACCCCACAGACACCAATTTGCGTGTTGAGTACCTACCCGCTTGGCAAACATGCCTAGTAAACAAATGCCAAAAAAAACTAGGTGTGGCAAATGATGCCACAAGAGTGTGCGTAATACCTGGCACTCGCCAAGATCAGCTGGCAGTTAGTCAAAAGCATAATTGGCGATGAGTTGTGAATCGTCACCGGGGGGATTTATGGGGCTCCTCGACTGGAGTGACGCCTTGTTGCAAAATACATACTGTATGGTACCTTTGTATGATACACACACGCACACGCACACATATACATTATATATACATACTCACTATACATATTTTTTAAAAAAAAAAGATAGAGATCTATATGTAGAAATGCATACGTATAGGTCAAAGCCCTGACGTCTCGAGGCCTAATGGCTGCATGAGGCTCGCAGGGATGTGACCTGGCTTTTGCATGGTTCTCAGGCTCTCAATCTGCTTCAGGATTGCCTGAGACGTGCCTTACCCCGATCGAACGCACTAAGAGAACTACACATTCAACTGCCCTGGAATCACAGGCCCCCAAAATCTGAACCAACTTGTTTGCCAAATCAGCTACTAGACTGGCCAACGCTGATTATAGCAAGCACACGGAGAGGCAAGTTTGACAGAAAGGAACACGTCATAGATGTTGGGGCGACGCCTTGTAGAGGTAGTTTCGCGTTTTGCCCCTTCAACTCTCCCGCGCCACCCCACACCCCACTACGGGCAAAGAGAACCGCGTGACTCTTTGCCAGATTTGTTGGCTGCTGCTCGCCCCAACCACAATCCTCCAGCACTCTGGCCCGTGTGCGGATATCGCCGTTTCAGAGACCGTGATTGGTGAAGCTTGAAGCAACAAACCACACTCTTACCTTGCTCAGGCACCAAGCTGTGGGACTGTGGGACTATCAACACTTATTCACTTATTCCTTGGCGCTTTCCTTAAAAAGCATGCCATCGTGCGTACAGCAAATGCGAAATCCGCTCACCATCTTTTGCTTCTTGCGATGTGTGAGTGCCACATCTTCTGCCGTCTTTCTGGACTTGTGTGGGACTTCGGCCCCATCCTGCTTCAAACTTAGGCCTGGATACCGCGCGGACCTGGAGTAGGCTCCTGCAAGACAAGCTACCCAAGTCGGCAAAACACACCGCGGGCCTCAACTGAGCTCGCCTTGGACAAGTGGGGCCCGGCCGACTCGAATGGCTGGGTGCTGCGAGTGGGAGCGACAGCATGGATAAGCGCGAGACAGGACTAGAACGCTGGACTTGCCAAGGCAGGCGCTCCGTGACGGCATGCGTGCTTGGGCTCCGCAGTTGTTGCGCCGTCGGCCGCGCCACCAAGTACTCCGTTGCCACCTGGCTCAGCTAGCGGCAGACACCTACAGCCACGCCACACTGCCGCAAAGAAAGGCAAGTTTGCCAGTGGCTCCACGACGCTTGGTTTGGGCAGGCGACGCGACGCTTGCAGAACTGCCGCTCCTTCTGAATTGCGGCCGCAACCACGAGGCCAGCGCGCCGCGACACGCTAGAGAAGACACTGTAGGCATTTGTAGGCTTCGTCCTGGCCCCTAGCCACCATGTCAACGCCTTGCTGCGCCTTGCTGACCTGTTTGGACTTGAGGCTGTCGGTTCCCATGCCGCTGGCGGCACACCTTGCCCGCGAACTCGCCTATGCCTACTAGTAGGCGGCGCAGTCCACACTCACATCCCAAACCGAACTCCGTGTTGGAGCTGTGCTGGACATACTGCGTACAGAGAGTTCTGGGCGGCCCAAGCGCAAAGTACGATCAGGAGACTGGACAGCTCACAACAGCTTGGGGCCCCCCGTCCGGCCCTCAGAACCGCTGGTGATTCCCATGGGCTGCAAACGCACGAGCGCAAGAAACCCCGTGACATGAGCAAGCCCATGTAGCTCCTGACAACGACAACGGTTGAAGAGAACCGCGGAGGTTGCCCGCAGGCGCAAAGAGCCAGGCAGACACAGACAACCTTTAGGAGCAACGCGAGCAAACTTGCCGGCGCCGCGCAGCCGATAATCTCCCGACTCGCGTCGGGACCCGGGTCGCGGTGGGTCGAACGCGTTTGAAGCCTGCGCACCCCCGGAACCTGCTCCGCGCGCGCAGCTGAAACTTTCACACGGGCCTCTCGGATGAACCCCGGGGGGGGTTGCTCCACAAAGCGCTTGGCACGCCGGGTCCACCAGCTTTCTCGCCAATTACGAAAAACACAGCCGACCCCCTCCTCCGGAGAGCAACCATGGGCCTGGAACACCCGCGACCAGCGCCTGCTGATTGGTTGAGCGAAGGTGCCAATTTTCGCTCTGCTCCATGGCTGCTCTTGCAGCAATCGTTCTGTGGACTCGTACTAGGCTTCTGCGCAATGAGTCAAGAATGTCACCGACATGACAGCTTCCTCCAGGATGCCGAACAGTTCCGCCATCTCCTCTTGGCGCTGCCAACCAGCAGCCTGGCCTACGAGTTGGGGATGCGGGGAAGCTCTTTGGAAACGTCCCGAGCAGCTCTGACAAGGCCCGCCATCTCCGAGGTCCTCTTCTTGGGCGGCTGGGTGCTCTCTGGCAAGCGAGGCCGGAATGGCTCCTCGACCAGGAGTCCATGGGCACAGCCGGCTGTTCAGTCCTCCTCAATAACTTCCACCAACTCCGGAGTCTCGTCGGAAAAGGATATGGCTGGTAATCAGAAGAAAGGGAAAAGTGTCTCCTAACAACAGATCACCAGACACTTGAGGCAAAATGGCTCCGAGGCCATTTGACTCATATTCCTGACATATTTCCACCTTCTTAGCTTGTTGAACGAATCAGGAATCGAAATGCTCTAACAAGCATGCAAAGAGCCTAACGGGCACATCCGGGCCTAGAGGTTGGTGGCTTCTGGAATCCTCTTGAGAATACGATGGGAAATTCATTGAGTGAGACATGGCTAACTGGGTGCCAGCTCGGGCCCCCGTAAAACTGGCAGAGTGAGCCAGGGCACGGAAGCAACAAGTAGCATGAAGGGGGACCGGGCCATGCTGAGCCTTTGTACAACGAGCAAGGACACGGGGACGCCTTGACAGCTGGGAGCCTTGGTAGTGAATTGGAGTCACCTACCAAACATCCAGTGAACATTGGTCATTGCCTCATGCTCCTTCCCTTTAACTTTGAGTTGCCCACCTGGGCCTTTTGGACGCCCCTTGAAGCCTTCATCTTCCTTGCCCCATGCTTGGTTGCTGTTTGTTTCATTGCCCGAATGCCTTGAAACGTGAGGGTGTCCCAGCTGCCAGACTCATCGCCCAATGGCAAGCCAAGTGCCGGGAGCAAAAACCAGACTTGGGCTCTCAGTTCCATGAGAGCCCAAGCACTCCATCTGCTAGGCGATGCCCTCGTCTCATAAAAAAGTCCGCCCGCATTCCAAGGCATATGTGGGACACCGCGGACACCGGGACTCAAAGCTACAATAGCTACGGTCATAAATCTGGCTATAAATGCATGCAAGAAACCTGTGATCAATCCTCATCCTCATCCTCCTCTTCCTCGTCCTGGCCGCTCACGCAGGGGGGCGGGGCGAACCAAAGCAAAACTAGCCGGAACCCAGAAGCGCCCGCACCAACCGACACCGAGATCTGTCTCCTCTTGCGCATGGCATGAAAATGAGCTGCGCATAACCTTCGCTACACCCCGCGGAAAAAAGCTCGGCCAGGCCGGCCTCATAGTCATCCAGGCTCAAGCCTGGAGGTGGGGGCAACGCATCGGCCGACAGGATGTAGAAGTCTCGCACCTGGCCGAAATCCCGATTTCGGAAAACACGGGCAGGGGAACCGGAGAATCGGTGCGGTTTTTTGAATCGCCCCTTTGGCGAAGCATTCCAAGCGATGCTTGAAAACGAACGGGGCGCAAAAAAACAGGACATCCACCTGGGCTTGAGCTGTGAGATAAAATCCATCGTATGCAACTCGCATTGCGCTTTGAAAGGGGAAAATTGTGTTTCACTTTTGAGCTGGAAACCAAACTTAACATGGCGAAATTAGGGAACGTTCTTTGAAGGTCCCTTTTTTGAGGTTGTTCATTTGGAGACAAACCGTGCGCCAGTATTGATCCTTGTCTGCTGCATCAGGATATCCTCCCCGCCCAGAACAGACTGGGGCAGCCCCAGAATCATTGATCTAGCCTTCCTCAGAAATGACCATGCCCAAGGCCTACAAACAGCTCATCGCGATCAAAATCGAAGCGGTCCACGCCCTCCAATTCAGGCAGCGCGACATTCGGATCCATCGCAGGCAGCTCGTTCATGGTGCGAGCAGATCGCGATGGAATCTGCGCGGCCCGATTGGTACGACCCGTACAACACGGCCTGCAGTGTCGTTTCCAAACGGGGCGGCTGAGCTGCTGCAAGCCCAGGATTCTTGAAATGCATGCCTGGTTGACAAAACTACAGACCTGTTGCAGCGAACATGGCTCTGGGGTGGTCTGGCTCACCGTGTGGGCAGGAGGGGCAGAACACGTCCACCCAACTTGTAAGTTTCATTCCCTTCCACGGGCCGACTTGCACCCAAAGGGGTTCCATTTTGTGTGCGCCTCCAATGACTTCAAACCGTTGGGTTTGACGGTCAAAAATGCCCAAAAGTGGAACCCTGATTGCATAAGGATGGAGAACCAGTTGACGACCCCGCACTCGGCCCAGTCTTCACGCACATGGGTAACCCAACCCATCTTGCAGGGTGCCAGCTCACGTCTAGCAGCAGCCTCTGACCAGGGCGCTCGCGCCTCAAAATTTCGCCTCATATGCATGCCGCTCACAGCGACGCCATGATGATGATTCCTGGCCGGCATCCATGGTGACAAACTCCTTTGGTCCTTTGCGAGACAAGAAAGGGCTCCATCCTTCGTCTCAAGAGAAGCGGCCCAGGCATCCCAAACGGAAAGTCTACCAACAGGGTTCTGTCATCCCGTCAGCGTCCAGCTTCGCTTGAAAAAGGAGACCAAACTCACTCATCATTGACTGCGACAAATGTCCCACGCCTTGACACGGGTGGTGCAACGAACTGCGTGTGGATCAAACGTGTCACACGTAGCAATCAGCTGGTCATCTTAGTTTGGCGAACGAACAAATGCATGAGGGGCCTCCAAAACTGCGTGACGCATAAAACAATCACCCTCTTGCTTTGGGGTTTGGGGTCTGGGGTAGCAGGGTGGCTGGGTAGCCCTATTTGGAGGCTCCTCGCAGGTCCCTGATAAGTAGGCTGCCCCAGCCCCAGTTAGGCCATTCGATTGGGCCCAGGTAAGCGTCGGGTGCTCTTCCCTGCGCAATAGCTTTGAAAGCACCCCAAACTTCACAATGTTTGACTCATCCAAGGGGTCCATGGCTTTGTCCTCAAAAGATGGCCTATCTCAGACCAGCCCCCTGAGATCTCCGCCTATGAAAGGTGTCCGGCCGCTTCTGGTGGAGCGCGCTGCAGGCACCTCATGCGCTGAGCAGAGCCCTTTGGCGGTTCGAGCCACGTCCAAAGTTCACAGCGTGTCTCGAAACTTGCGTCTCATCCGTTGTTCAACTCTTTCACTTGAAATAACCGGCAAACCGGTCCAATTGATTCTGTCTGAAATCGGAAAATCGGGGAGCGTGGGATTCATGGGAAACCTTGGCGTGTCCCACGTCCCTCCCAAACGGGCCACAGACTGCCAGGTCTATTGACCAAACCTCATTTGGGAATGAATTCTGTGGAAAACATCGGCAAACCTGTCGCACTCTCATTTGCTTAACCTTTGGCTCGAAGAAACGAAACGTGAGAGTTCCATTTCGGGGAGTTTGTCACATATAGACAAGAGGACCCTCATTTTGAAAGGACTCTTTGGGCGTTGGACCCGCCAATCGGAAGTCTTGGCAGTCGCAAAGGTGGACAGCCCCTTGAAAAAACGTGGTCCCTTTCTCAGCGATTTCTCTCATCCGGATTCAGTCGTATTGCTCGCTTCCTGTGGCTCCCTCGCAAGAAAAACAACGGCTAAGGCTTCCCAGGACCAAGGAGAACGGGTGTATCTCCAGACGGGTTTGACCCCCAAGCAAAGCATACTGTGCAGAGGCTTCGCAAGTTTAGACTGGCTTAGTATTGGCTAGTATTGGTTTGAAATTGCTGTGTGCTGCTGTGGTACCGGCTTAGTGTTGATTGGTAGTGGTTTAATATTGGTTTAGTATTTCTTTCTGCTGCCTTGGCACTGGCTTACTATTGGTTTGTATTGGCGGTTTAGTATTGCCAATTGTCTTCGGTCCTCTTCGGTCCTCTCTGCCCATTATGGGTGTTGAATTGTTTCAGTATTCCTTTGAGCTGGCCCAGCACTGTCTTGAATTGGTTTAGTATTGGTGTAGATTTGGTTTCATTTAGTACTGGTTTGTCCTGCCTTAGCACTGGCTTCGCCCTAGTGATTACTGGCTTAGTAACTTAGTATTGGTTCGCAAAAGGTTTAGATGTAAGGAAACCAGCGGTTTCCGGGATGGGTGTCGTATTGTATACAGGAGATTGAGGAAAATCGGCAGTTTGTGAGATGGGTGTTGCTTCCAGACCAAAAACAAAATACGGCACAACCTTTTCCTTCCGGAGTAAGTCCCAGTTTGTGTTTCAGGCCAAACAACATATTTTATTGGGTACCCCTTCTCATTTTGGGCAGAGAATATTGTTGGAAAACACATTAAAGGCATTTGGTCGGGGTTTCGACTTTACCCAGATCCATTGGCCGATCCACAGGAGAGACTCCAAAGGCCTGAAGCTCAGAGCAAAAGCCTTTGCTGCTTCGGGGGGTAAGAACAATGGGCCCCTTTGTCATGTGGGTTGGCGCCGGCGTTTGTCATCAAAATACCGGGTCAAACTAGATGGCACGATATCCATGTCCGTGAGTGAGGAAAAACACAAAACATGTGGGGATTTGCCAGAAAACATGCCCATGGTTTTGGAACTCCCTGGCTTGGGCGACACAGGAATGCTGCCAGCTACGTCCAAACACTAGTCAAAGCCATGCTGAAGCGGCCTCCCAAGCTTGAGCTGTGTGTGGAAGACTTCCGAACAAAATGCTGACAGCAATATGAGTAGGTGACTATCTCATTGTGTTCTTGCGGGATGCAAAGGGAAGCTTCTTGGTCTCTTCATTCCGGCATTAAAGCATTCTTTTCAGAACGCACTGGACAACTGGATAGTGCCACATGTTCGAAGCGCGCACACACGCGCACACACGCACAGAGCGCCATTCCGAGAGACGTCACTTGTCCCCTGGGGCACGCGCCAGATTTCTTCGCCCTGACAAAGGCGGTGGAAAGCGCTCTGCAGCTGACCGTCGACCAAATAGTCCCCAACTTAGATCCAAACCCAATTGCCTCGTGAGAACACAAGTTCGGGGCAGTCGCACAGCTTCAGAGGGCATGGGTAGTATGGGCCTTCCTACTCTCAACACAGAATCCAAAGACCCACTGTGGTGGTAGTACACTGCCAGCACCACTACCACTACCACTACCCTGAACTTCAACTACTACCACACCTCTACTACTACCACTGCTTCCACTGCCTCTACTCTACCACTGCCACCAGTACAGCTGGCGGTGAAGGGGGGAAGTTTCAAAAAAGAAAGGCAAGCAACCATAGTTAGAGACCTTTCTCTTCCTGTCACGCCCTGAGCCCAACAGCGCGCCGTTTTTCCAAAACACATCTCGGGGTCTCGTATAGTTGAATCTGCAGGGCTGGCGTGGCTGTTGCGTGATTCTGTGGCCTTGGCAACGTGCCGCTGCCGCTTAGCCCTGGTTTTCGGGCGCATGTCGTGTATCACATTAAAACAACTCACAAGCCGCAAGCGGGAAAGGAATACGCGCGCGTAGGCACCCCTTGCAGCCGCGGAGGCTTTGCGTAGGCACTCGCGCAGGCGTGCGTGCAGTGTAGAGGCCCTGAGCACCAAGAGAACACTGCCCATTTGAAGGAAGCAGTGGCATGAAAGCAAATATCACTTGCCTGTTGCATCTGTTGCCCGATTCTTCCAGCCAAATGTTTGCGCTAGAGAGCTAGTTCGGCGCTAGCGATGGTTTGAAGATGCGCTCATGCAAAACATGCTTTGCTCGCAGCAAAAAGGCAGCTTAAGAAGTACATCTCCTGCATGACTGCTGACTTGGAAAAAACGTACAGCAAATACTTCCAGCACTTGGACCTTGGTGGAGATAGCTGCCATTCCTGAAGCTTTTGCGAAAGCCTGGCAGAGTTTCCAGGAAAGGACTTTGTTGATGCTGTTTGACATGTGTGTTGATGCCTCGCAACTTGTCTTTCGTTAGAGGTGGCACGCTTGGAATGCTGCCTTATTCACAAGCCTTTTGACGAGAGCCCGTATCCGTCCACTGCTTACCATGTCTCCCAATCAGCTGGCTTTGGTGCCCTGGCCTCGTTGCCTGGGCAAAAGGCAGCTCCTGCCTGGGCATTTTCGCCAAGACACATGCAGCCGACAAACACAAAGCTGCCTGTCGTGCACTGCAATAAGTTAACTAACCATGGTGTTCAAACCACTTGCATGGCTCATTGTGTTCTCAAAACCAATCAAAGAGAGCTTCCATGGTTCCCCCCCAAAAAAAAAAAAAAAAAAAACCTTGGGCCACGGCGAAAGGCGGGCCGCCAGGAGCCGGGTGCAGCGCTGGGCCAGCTGTGGAAAGGCGGCAACCTGCCGAGATGAAAGGCTTTCGTCGAGCCGAGTTGCGCTGACCCCCTTTCCGGGAAGTGCGCACCTGCCAACTTTGCATGGCTTTCGTTGAGCCGAAGTGCGGCAAGGACCAGCTGAGGCACCAGTTTGGCCCTTTCCCCTGCATGTCTCCCGAAAAGAGAAAAGAAAAGGAAGGAGCGGGTCCATGAATCGCGGAGGGATGCCAATCACCCAGATGTTGGGAGTAGCTGCTAGCCCCCGAATGTCGCAACATTGGGTGTGATGAGGTATGGTTTCCCGCTGACAATCCTTGGGGAAATGAATACGATTATCATTCATGGGTGGCATACTGTGGAACCCATGATGGGTAATAAAGATGTGGCGCAGCTGACTGCAGGTGCAGCAAGGACGGAGTGGATGATATGGATGATTGTCGCAGCTGAGAGTACCATATTGGTACCAAAGGACGAAACCAGCAAAGAATGTCAGCCATATTATGTCCAGTGGTACCATAGTATATCAGCCATTGGTTCGCGGCTGTCGTCAGCAACTGCTCGCTCGAAAATCATCGGCTCCGGTGCAGCTCTATCTCCTCTCCGAAAAGTGGACAAGAAGACAACAAACAATGACATGCCAACGACGTGTCCATGACACGCCAATCCTGATTAGCATTGGCGACGGGAGTTCAGCTCAAGTGCCTTTGACACAAAACCGATCCTTGGGGAATTCGCCGAGCGCACTCTGACGACGCCATCTCTAACCTCACCGTATTATTTCAACGTCAGGTCGTAAGGAAGTTCCACCCTTCGTTGAAAAAACGGACTGGGTGAGGAGAGAGCGCCTCATTCTGCCTAGCCAAGGATCCGGAAAGGAAATCCTAAGCGCGTGCCCGAGGCCAAGGCCCACGATGGACTTCGTAAAAAGATGTATTGGACCAGCTGCTCCTGGCCACAGGTCCAGCCGAATGGGCTGCTAGGGACCCAGCCCCTGCTTTCAAGCAAGCTTCGCACAGGAGAAAACCTGTGATGGATGGACCTCTTGGAATCAGGAGCATCAGGCACAAACTCTGAAAGAGAGCTGTGCCATAGGTTGCTTTTTTTTGCTTTTCTGGGACCAGTTTTCCACCAGCCATGCAAAGCAGTCGCTTGTGCTCAGTGACCCATATCGAAACCTAGCACACCTAACGCGGATGGCCTCCACGCCGTTGAGAGACCTCGTGGGCAACACTTCCGCGCGACGCGACGCTTCTGAGCAACACTACTGAGCAACACTTCTGATCGACAATTCTGAGCGACACTTCTGAGCAGCGCTTTTGATCCACACTTTTGATCGACACTTCTGAGCAACAATTGTGAGTAGCACTTCCGAACAACACTTCTGACCCGCAGTGCTGGTCGACGCGTCTAATCGGTGCTTCTGAGAAACACATCTGATCGACACTTCGGAGCGACAGTTCTGAGCGACGCGACACTTCTTAGCAATACTTCTGATCGACACTTCTGCTCAACACTTCTGGTCGACGTTTCTGAGCAACACACTTCTGCTCGACACTTCTGAGCAACGCTTCTGATCGACACTTCTGTTCGACACTTGAGTAATCGAGACCTCTGGTCGACATCTGTCTGACCGACGCTTCTGAGCGACACTTCTGAGCGACGCGACACTTCTGAGCAACACTTCTGATGAACAGTTCTGAGCAATGTCTCATCAACACTTCTAACTTCTAATCGACACTTCTAAGCAACGCCTCTGCCTGATGCGACACTTCGAAGCAAGACTTCTGAGCAACCCTTCTGATCCAGACTGCTGGTCGACACTCTGAGCGACACTTCTGAGCAACACTTCCGAGCGGCGCGACACTTCTGAGCAACACTTCTGATCGACATTTCTGAGCGACGCTTCTGATCACCACCTCTGATCGACACTTCTGCGCGACATTTTTGAGCATCACTTCTGGGCAACGCTTTTGTCGACACTCCTGATCGACACTGCTGACCGAAACCTCTGAGCAACGCTTCTGACCGAAACTTCTGAGCAACGCTTCTGACCGACACGTATCAGCGACACTTCTGAGCAACACTTCTGATCAACACTGCTGATCGACTTTTCTGAGCAACACTTCTGAGCAACACTTCTGAACGACACTTGTGATCGACATTGCTGACCGACGCTTCCGATCAACGCTTCTGAGCACACTTCTGAGCAAGATTTCTGATCAACTGAGCCATGCTTCTGAGCAACATTTCTGATCGACACTTCTGGGCAACACTTCTACACACACACACACACATCAGCGACACTCTGAGCGACACTTCTGAGCAACACTTCTGATCGACACTTCTGAGCGACACTTCTGATCAACACCTCTGATCGACACTTCTGATCGACACTTCTAGAAGTGAATTCCAAGACTCTGTCAACCTATCTGCCATGAATATCCCATATCATATTCCGCGCGGACTTGGAAGGCATTGAGGCAGGAAACGATTCAGAGGTTGCGTCATCCAATTTGAGTGCGCCATCTTTTCTAGCTCGTTCTGGTGAATTTCTGTTCAGCCAACCCCATTGGCTCCTTCAAGGCCCTGGTCTTTGTTTCCAGGTCCATAGTTGTTTTGCTACACGCAGAAAGCGCTCAAACCCAGCCTCTTACTCGCAAGCGTTCCCAGTCCGCTGAGAGCAGCAGTCTACCAACATGCCCTGCTTCGAGAGTCGCTAGGTCGTTCTGCCGGGGCGCTGTGTGAATCCAAAATAGCCAGAAATCCTCCTCCCCAGTCTCTTGGCCGCCGGACTCATGCTGGCTGTGGGAGAGCAAACACTTGCCCTCGAGCAAGGCCAACTGCTGCCTCGGCTGCAAGGCGTCAGGAAATGGCGACAGAATTTGGCTGGGCCCAAGCCAAATCAAAAGGTGTTTCAGGTAAACTCAGCAACTTCTACACCCAATGCTCCAGAAATGCGCCGCTTCCCCCAGAGAGGTCAAGGAGCCCATGTTTTTGGAAGGAATCTGGGTCCATGTAGTGAAGTGATTGCTTAAGAGCAAGCCGACCCAGTCGAGCGGCTTGGACGAAAGCAGGCGGCTTGAGATGGATGCCCACCTGAGGTCAGTGAAGGCTCTCGCCACTCAAGACCCGGCTGTGGTGCATGAGCATGTCTGACGAAAGGCAAATGGACCATCCAAGATCCAATAGAGGGATTGGCATCTTCAGCATCCAACAAATGCACAATCACAACTCAAATGTGATTTGTGGCTACTGTTGCTCACGGCGGCGCGGTCAGATTGGGTTGGGCACAGTCTGAGCTTGCAGATCGGGTTATGCAGCGTCTACTTTCGTCAGTTCACAAGGGAATTGGGAAGGGTCAGGGGCGCTTCAACAACTATCACAAGAACCTGCAACTATTGTTGACATCGTCTGATCCCACGCTAGCTCGCGTCTGGCGCGGGCCTCGGTGTCTCCCAATCAATCCAAACAGGCGAGACCACCACCAGCCTCTCCCCATCTCCGGCCTCATACATGCGAAGCTAGGCGTCACCTCGTTTGCTGTCATAAAGCGCTCCATCTGCTCCTGGGCCGCCAGCAGAATGGAGGTCGGGGTGGGTGCAGTCAACACCTTGTGGTTTGACAAGCTTTGTTCCAGGCCCTGTCATCCATGCACCCGCGCCCCCGCACCCCAGAAACAGTATGGCTGGCCGGCCTGCGCAAGCACAAGTCAGCAAACACAAACATCCGCGGCTGTTGCAAAGGATTTCTTGTTCCACACAAAGAGCTGGGCTGTTTGTAGTTCTACCTTGCTTTATGGAGGCCTACCTTTGGCAAAAGGATACCCTCCCATGACTAAGATTAAGCTGGTAAAATTTGCAGTTGCCCTCCTCTGTGCGTCCGCAACGTGTGCGCGTGGGCGTGCGCGCGCGTGCACATCCTGCCCAAAATGCGCCGCCAGAGGCCAAGAACACGCCATGCACACAGAAGGTCCAGCCCCCGGCCAATCCTCCGCCTATGATCTGCGATCATGGCTCCCAGTAATTCATCATCTAAACTCCTGCTGGTGCCTTGTCAACAGGTCTCTCTCTCCTCTTCCGCGAGCAGCCCAAGCACTGCTTTTGCCACCTGAGGCTTGCGCTTCAGCGGGGCCGGTCCCACAAACTGTCATTACAGATTGGTTGTTTGGCAGTTTCATGGGATGCAAATCCCCCAATCGATGCAAATCCCCCAACCGAATAGAGCAAGACATTGAGAGAAGCGGCTCTGCCTTTCAGATGTTGGTCCAAAGGCACACGTTTGCTCTTGATCTTTCGGTCAAAGCTCCTAACCCCAACGCAGAACAGGGCCCAAGCCAGGTGGCGCCTGCGAAAGAAGTACTGTTTACTGTACCCTCTTAGCAGCTCTTGTTGACAAGTTAGGATCCGTCCTGGTGGCTCGCAACCATCACTGCCCACTGCGGTTGGGGTTGCGTTTTTTTGATGGTACCGGCACCCTTTCAGGTTGCTTTAAAAGGACACTAAAAGGAACGATTTTCAGCGGGTCCCCTGTGCTGACACATACCCACTTGCACGAACCAACATTCACGTTCTTTGATGCCGTTTTCGCCTGGACTAGCTGCCTGTTCTCGATCATAAAGGGATGCAGCTTCGACGGGTGGCTTCGGGGGTATTGCCACCAAACTGGAAACTCCTGAAGAAAAAGGTTGCAGCCTGGGCACATATTCCACCAACGAAAACAAGATCCACGAGCAAGCCCTTGCCCCCGCCTGGTGAAACAACTCGGCATCCTGCGAGCTTCGGCTTCCAAGCCAGCGAGGGCGACGCTTGCCATGTGGACCATCGTTGCAACGAATCCTCTATTGGCGTTCGAAAGCCCTTAAAGCAAACTGATCCCTCCACTGAACATTCTGATCGAAGGCTCAATGCAAAAAGAGATGGCTGTCATCAAGGATCTTGACCACACATCAGTGGAGTCCCTGGCACCTTTGAAGGTATGCAAGTAGGAGTACTGCTTCCTCTTCTTCAGGAATATGCTTGAAAGAACCATCAACTCAACACAAGAACCAGAAAGCGTTTGGCACGTGTCCCATTCATTTCACGTCTCGTCGGCCGCGCCAGGCCTGACCAGCTGAGAATGCCTGACCTTGGGAGCCCCGGTTGTCTTCGCGAGTGGACCGACTGGTCGCCGAAATTTGGTTGCCGTCGAGGCCGAGACAATTCCTTCACGAAACCGGCGTGCTCTGATCCATTGGTTGGAATTCCGCTAGCCATGCTCCGTGTCAGTCGGCCACACTGACATCGCTTTAAACAGATGTAGCTCGAAAAGACTGGGCCACCACGCCCATTCCAGCCCGCACAAGAGGCAACGCCTGTCGGGAAAAACCGAGGTTCGTCCACAAAGGCTTGACTTGTGGATGCGGCTGGAAGCGATGGCTGGATGGTTCGTCGGCCCGAAGAAAACCAAAGCAGGGCGCAACTTGACGCGGTTTGCAGCCGATTTGTCAATCACCGCCTTGCGAGCATAAAGCGCCGGAAGCTGGCTGCTGCAATGCACGGCACGCTTGCATGGTATACACTCAACTCCCCTCAGCCCGATCGAAATGGCTCCAAGGTTGTTGCACCCAAAGGTGCGGCTTTAGAGGAGCAAATCCTTCAGGGGGGCGGTGCCCTCAAATCCTTCAGGGGAGCAATGCCTACAGGCAAGACCCCTTCTCCAACGCGCCTCAGGTTGCAGCCGCACCTGCCACAGGTCGCATCGGGGCTGCGCAACTGGCCATGATGTTGAGGGGGCGGTCCCATCCTTTGCTGAAATGCCAGCGAGTTGCCGTGCGCAACTCGAAGAAGCCGCCAGGTGTTCAAGGGCATCTCAACTTCGCAAGCCCTTGCCACTTTCTCCCATCTCATGAGAAATCGGGGCTGCATCTGTTTGATTGGAGTGGCGATGGGCCGTTTCAACGTTAACGAAACATGCCATCGAGGTCAGACACTCTTCCCAAATAGCCAGGCATGAGGGCAGAAGCTGGTGGGTCAGTGAGAACCATGGAAGGACAACCAAGGAAGTGGTGGGCATTGGCAGAAACACCAAACGTTTTATAATACTGTAAGTATGGCACCATGGATGTGGTTGGTTCCTTGGAATCAACCATTCCGCCGAGGCGTGTGCCTAGAGTCACACGTGGTGGACAAACAGGATGGACAGCTTTCCCCGAATGGAGCATTGGAAAAGATGAATCGCGCTATTCCCCACACGCGTGAATTGTCTGTGAGTATGTGGCGAATTGGGGAACGGCCAGGCAGCTATTATAAGTTTGGGACACGCCCCTCGTGTGAATCTTAATAGGATCCCTGTACTTCACACCTCGCTGTCTCCCTGCCTCTGGGACTGGACCTAACGGCAGGTCGGAGGCCGTGGGCAATACCGCATGTCCCCAAGGCTCTAAGCAAGGCTCCGCCCAGAGAGACCAATATGGTCCGTGTCCGAAGCTGCGCCGATGCGGAACTACCTGGGTTTCGGTACCTAGCTAAAAGTTGATGTTGAGAATCTATATCCGAACGAGCCCGAGGATAATGACTTTGTCTTTTAGAAGGTTGAAGGACCGTAAACGGGAACCCACCAATTCTTGGCAAACGCATCTGCACATCCGTGTCAGTTCAGTTTGCCCACTCGTGTGTGGTCAGTAGGCAAGCCAAGTGTATTTGTCCATTGCCGTCACCGTCTCTGAGTCATGCCAATTGCGCATACAGTGTAGGATGAATTACTCACGCATGACAAGTGTTGCGTTATGTCTACCGTGAAAGCATGCTTAAGAGGGACAAACTGCCATTGCAGCATGCCAAAGAGTCACTGCCGTCAGCCCCAGAAGGAAGGGAGCCCGAAGGTGTGTTGTGCGACTTGCAGACCATTGACTCACTGGGAAAAGTGCAAGACACAGGAAGTTTCTAGTCACGTCTAATCCAAGGGTCCCAAAAGCATGCCTAACACCAGAATGCTGCGAGAATGCTGCTGAAGCTGCTAAACTTTGAATCCAAAATCATGTTTTTCCAGCAAGCCCCATTGGTTCAATTACAAGTAGTAGCAGGATGTGTGGAGGAATTGGCTGAGGCAAACAAAGTCGCACCATGCGGTCTGTTTCTGTGTGTGCGTGTGTCAACTGAGCTTCCCACTCATCTTTGGTGCCCTGGACGGAGAGAAATGAAGGCCAGGGCATATTTTCAGAAGCTGCTGCCCTAACCGGTTCTGGGCCTTTCTTTTGTGAAGGCCAACGGCGCAGTTGTTTCAGCGGATTTTTGCCTTTCAAAACGGCGAAGCGTAAGCAAGCCCAGCACAACAACTGCTCCATGCCTCCTGAAACCTTCCGAAACCCTCCAGAACCCTACCTCAGAGCTGCTCCAGATCACTCCGGCGCTATTCTTATAGCTTGCGGCTGGGGAAAAGCTACACTCGACAAACGCATCTACTTTCGATCCGCGTTTGTGCGTGTGTGTGTGTGACAGATCTTGTGGCCAATACCAATAAGCACACTTGCCTGAGAGCGTGGCTGGGCAATGGCGGCAAGTGAGCTAAGTCACATTGGTTGACATGAAACACTTGTTAGCCATTACCTCATCCTTCCGCAGATTCCCTCCGTTTTGCCATTGCATCAATCGTTCCCATGAAGGCTACATACAAGCACAGGTTGGATTGGAGAAGCTGAACACATGGCTTCCAACCTTGCTCGCCTTTTTTGCGGTTCTCTCCTCCCCACCCGAGAGCCTCTCCCTGAGCGTGCCGAAGTCCTGGCAGCTTCATGCACTTTCGGACGTGTTCAAAATGTGGGCCTGGTATTCAAAGTGGTTGAAGCCCAAATTTCTATGCAGACCCTTTCGGGGTTAGGAGTATTCTGTTTCAAGGCTAAGGAAAAGTCATTTTCGGGGTTAGGAGGGTATGTGGGGCTAATAGCGCCTTGCAGCATTTTGAGCTCTCCTTTGACTTTAGGTTGGGACCCTCAGCCCAGTGTATGCTTTTCGCCTGAATCCTTTGGTCCAAAGCTCATGTTCGTGGCTCGCAGTTCGCAACTGGCTTCCTCGGTTGATAGCCTTGCCCCCGAATGAAGGTGTGTTTGTGTGTGGCAGCTATATCACAATGCCGCCTTGGCAAGCAAACAAACAAGACTCAATGCTGTGCGAGGAGCTTGCCTGGAAACTCACACTGGCTCAACGGTAGACTACGCTGATTCCTGCCCTGGCTTCACTCATGCCGCGTTGAGGGAGAGCATGAGTGGTTGAAACCAAACTGGGTTGCAAATAAGCCAAGGAAAGCTAGCTCAAGTTCTCTGGCCCGCTCCTCTGGCCGCGCCCGCTCTTGTGCCAGGCTGGCCCTCAAATCCATGCGCTGTGGCAACGGATGGCTGAAAAGAACTGCAAAGGGGCCTAACGCTGAGACTCGAGACATCTTTGGAAATGTCATGGCTGTTTTTCTAGAGCCATGTGACCATGTGCGCCTTCTGCGAGCGCGCTTAGGCGCCAACTCTGGGGATTCCGCACGACTCTCCCAAGTTCTAAAATGACTTGGCTAGAAGGCGAGAAACCTGTTTCAGAAACTTATTACCAAATCTGGTAGCCTAGAATCCCCACAAGGATTCTAGGGAGCTTCAACACGAACCATCTGGGAATGAGTCAAAATCGGACTCCAAAATTGCTGTCTTCCTTTTGCTTCCCTTTTAAACCAAAACCGAAAAACGGGTAGCCTCACCCATTTGGAGCCACACATTTCTTCAAGGCCCTTTGAAGCCGACTCTGAGCTTGGGACAATGCCTCCTCCAGCCGATGCCCTCGGGGCCCGAGGGCCGAGGGCCCGAGGGCCTTTTTCCCCGTCGCGAGACACGGGGCACGGCAGCCGTCTCAAAGCAACGCTCCTTCAAGACAAAGACAGCCGAAGATTGGGTCAGAGTTTGGGTGCTCCCCAAACTAGCTCAAGACGAACAGTGATATTGTCAGCTCATGGTCATAGCATTCAAAAAAAAACAAGGCCATCGAATGCGGCTGGCTCAAATCGACGAGTTTAATTCGACCTTTTCTCCAAATCACCTCTTTCAGGCTGTTGAACCTTTTCCCAATCCCACAGAGTAGTAAAGCCGTCCTGAAGTGCCTCCAGGATCCGTGCCGGATGTGCGAAGCAAAAGTGGTGCTTTGGATACCAGTGCCTTCAAGTTTCAAGGTGCAAAACACAGATCTCTGGCTAGATTGAGCTGCGCCGCTTAGTCGTCAACCATATTACCGCATTTGTCAACTCGGACGATGAGTGAAAACAGTCTCGACGAGAACGGGCGTTTGGACTAAGCCTGCGGCAGACGTCTCTTGGCTCAAACAGTGGTTGAGCTTTGAACATGAATATCACTGAATGCACAGCTGGTCCATTCAATATCTGACTATGAAACAAATTCTGCCAGCTATCAAGTAAATCCTTGGCTTTCGAGAGGACTTGCCTTGGCAGAAACCTCTCGCAAGCTAGCAAGCAGAGGGTTGAAGGGTTTTCCGCTGGCTCTTTCATGAGGCGAACTGCGATGAAGATGGAGCCAATTGTCAGGAACTCGGATGAGAAGCAAGTGCGGCTAGAGTGCAAAGCGGAAGACTCGGTGGAAGGCACAAGTCCTTGACATGTTTGCGAGTGCCAAGGAAGGCATTGTAACATGTCACAATGTCTAGGTGGCAAACGTGCAGCCAGCCGAAGCAACGTGGCACGTGTGACTGCTCCCAGCTCTTCAACTGGCCCTCGCTTGGTTGCATTTCTCCGGGAGTCTTCTCAAAGCATTTGAAAACTAAATGTTTATACGCAAGTTGCCATCTGAAAGACCCGAGCCCATCCTTGGCTTCAAGTGTTCTCAGGTCTGGACGCGTTTGAACCCAAAAGAATACCTTGCCCCCCGCAATACAGGTTCGGACAATTCAAGAGTTGTACAACCAAAGGATTGCGCGCAAGCCGCGCATGAAACCCAACCCTCGTCCTTCTGGCCCTGTTCTAGGCTCCCTGCTTTGGAAAGCCTCACGAGGAGCGCCACAGAGAAATGGCTGGATCGATTTTGGAAGACCCTTGTGCCAAGCACGAGGAAAACTCACAGGATAGTCTGCAAATGCCAAGACCTCCATCCAGAATAAAAGCCCCTCTCGGAATCTGAGAAAAGCTTTGTGGGGAAAAGTGGGCCACCAAGTTAGGCAGAAAGCAGCACTGCGGCTCCAGCCTGACCTTCCGCTGGCTGTGTCCAGTCCAGCCGCCTCACAACCAAATTGTGCATCCTCATGCATATGCAACATTCACCGGGGGTTCAACGTCTGCAAGAACTCTCAAAAGAACTCAAATGAGCTCAGTGTGTTTTCGGTGCTGTTGAGGTAGCTGACAAATCTGCCCGCCATACTGACGCAGTCGCACATCCCTCCCGTCCCGTCTGCCCACCCCCCCGGCCCACCCACCCGCGCACAGCATCCACCATCTCAGGCTGCAGCTGAGCACATGGTTCGGTACCAGGCGGCCTCGCCAAAGGTTGCGCCGCAGAAGTCTCTGCCACGGGCGCAGAAGGCTGGACTCCAGTTGGCAAGGGAGAGGTGGGTGGCAAGGGTGGCGTTGGCTCCGGCGCCGGCGGCACTGCCCACGCTGGCACCGCGCCTGGCACCGCGCCTGGCACCGCGCCTGGCACCGCGCCTGGCGCCAGCGCAGTTTGCGCCATTGCCGCTTTCGGAGCCATCGGGAGCATTAGAGCCATCGGAGCCATCGGAGCCATCTGAGCCATCGCAGCCATTGGAGCCATCGCAGCCATTGGAGTCATCGGAGCCATGGGTGCTGTAGCGGGCCCTTGCTGAAAAGACGGCTGCAATTGTTGCTGCGAGTCTGGCGAGTGGTCTCTCTGCTGCAGTTGCGCTTGAAGCTGCAGCTGTTGCAGCTGTGCCTGCTGCGCCTGTGCCTGCTGCAACTGCTGCAATTGCTGCGCCTGCTGAAACTGCTGCAACTGCTGCGCCTGCACAGGCGCTGCTGGAGAAATCGGATGCTGCTGCTGCGGTTGCTGCGATTGTGGTTGTTGCTGATGTTGCATCTGCTGCTGCGCTTGCTGTTGCTGCATTTGTTGCTGCATTTGTTGCTGCAGCTGTTGTTGCAGCTGTTGTTGCTGCAGCTGTTTCAACTGCAACTCAAGTTGCTGCTGCTGTTGCTGTTGCTGTTGCTGTTGCTGTTGCTGCTGTTGCTGTTGCTGTTGCTGTTGCTGTTGCTGCTGCTGCTGCTGCTGCTGCTGCTGCTGCTGCTGCTGCTGCTGCTGCTGCTGCTGCTGCTGCTGCTGCTGCTGCTGCTGCTGCTGCTGAGGTTGCCTCAATCTTGCACATCGCCGAACGCAATCCAGAGTGACAACATGCAAGAATGCCGCCTTGGCTTAGTTTCGTTTCTGGTCTATGGCAAGCGGGTCAATGGTCACACATGCTGTTGAAATGTTGACATTTCACTGAAGCTCTGGCTAGATGGACCCCTGCAGCACATCTAGCATGCAAAAACATCTTAACGTCATACTGCTGGGCAATTTGGCAAGCAATGATTCCCTGTCAAAAGCCATCAGTCCGGTCCAAGTCCAACAACCTGTGTAAGGGTCAAACACGTTCGCTTCTGGACGCCAAGACACATAGGCGTAAAACTTTGGCCTTGAGCTGGCGTCCTGGGCAATAGGCGAACAGACGTCAAAGGCAAATGCAGAAACCAAGGTTCACCGTGCAGTGAAAAACGGTGGAACACGATATGTGGCTGCGAATGCTGCTGCTGCTGCTGCTGCTGCTGCTGCTGCTGCTGCTGCTGCTGCTGCTGCTGCTGCTGCTGGTGCTGCTGATGTTCTCGTCGTTGTTGTTTTTCTTACTGCGGTTGGTGCCGATCGTGTTGCTGTGCTGCGGTTGTGGTTATGGCTGAGTCACGGTTGAGGTTGCATTGTGGTTCTCGCTGTGGCTATTGCTGCGGCAGTTGCGGTTGCGGTTATTGCTGTTGCTGTTGATGTCCTTTGTTGCGTTGTTGTTGCGGTTGCGGTTGCTGTCGTTTGTTTTCGGTGTCGGTGTCGTTGTTGGTGTTGTTGGCGGTGGTAGTGGTGTTGTCGCTGGTGTTTGCGTCGGCGTCGGCGTTGGTGTTGGCGTTGCTGTTGGCGCTGGTGTTGGCGTTGTTGCTGTTGTTGTTGCTTTGCTGTCAGTGTTTATTGTTGGTGTTGGTGCCGTTGTTGTCGTTGTAGGTGTAGTTGCAGTCGCAGTCGCAGTTGTAGTTGTAGTTGTAGTTGCTGGTGTGCTGTGGTTGTTGCTGTTAGCTGCTGCTGTTGCTGTTGCTGTTGCTATTGACGCTGTTGCTGTTGTTGCCGTTGCTTGTTGCTGCTGCAGCTATTGGTCTTAGTGTTGTCTCTGTTCTTGTCGTTGCTGTTGCTGTTGCTTGCTGTTGTTGCGGTTGTTGTTGGAGGCGCTTGTTTCCCGCTGTTATTGTAGTTTCCTTCTTGTTCTTGTTCTTGGTCTTACGCTTGGTCGCGGCGGTGGCGGCGACGGTTTTAGGGGGTCCTGGCAGCGGCGTTGTCGTTGCTGTTGCTGCTGCTGCTGTGTTGAAGTCGCTGTTGCCGTTGCTACGGCCGTGGACGTTGCCGTTGCCGTTGTTGCCGTTGCGGTCGTTGTTGCTGCGGCTCCTGTCGCTGTTGTCGCGGTCGCTGTTGTTGTTGCAGTTGTCATCGGTGGGGGCGGTGGGGGCGGTAGGGGTGAGGACCACGGCACCTCATGGGCATCATCATCATCATCA